ACCACACGAGCCATGAGCCCGTATACTTTTTCAAAATTCGGTTTTTTTGAACAACCCTACTGCTCAGTGCCTTTAGAAATTGAGTTTTGGAAAGCTCAAGTCCCTATAGCTCCTCAGGTCGGCAACAGTTGAAGCCTCATCTGAACCCATGTGAAAAAAACGAGGGTAAGGAACCTTGTGTTGCTTTTTCTTTTACCGTCATAATTATCTCAAACCATCACAATTTTGAGTTGCCACATTGTCTGCTTCACTACATTCGTGTAAAACTTGGGTGAAGGCTGGTGTCTCAAAGAAAGGTGAAGATATTTCTTTAAGTGCCTAATCCGTGAAATTGAAATATCCCGGCTTTACAAATCTACACTTTTCATTTTCTCCACGATACATTTTTAAAATTGTTTAAATTTTATCTACATTTGTTAAAATCGGGGCTTTGGTTTTGTGTAAACTAGATCATAAAGTTTACTATAGTTTTGTGTAACCTGATGGCTGAAGAAAATAGTAATTTTGCTAAAATGATGTGCGGAAATTTGTTGCTTTCCAAATCAAATTACTCATACCTATATTTCATTCAAAATTAGGAGGCATTATTACTGTTTTTTCTTGTAACATGAACTGAGTTTGGGTACGGTGCTCCGGAAACGTTGTGGAACTTTAAGCTAGCTAGAGCAGTTTCCATAAAAATTGTTTAGATAGTTGACATGGCTTGTTGACAACTCTTTTGCTGTTTCTAAAAAAGTGAAAAAATATTTTCCTGCATTAAGCACACAAGGCATGTTATTCTCATAAGCTATCGAATGTGTGTGTGTTTTTTTAAGCTGTTTTTTTTTAAGCTTTTAAGCTGTAACTTCAGTTACTTCACTTTAGAACATATTGCCCAGAATGCGTCACTGATCATGAGCTGGTATATCATATCATATGTAGCAAATACATAAATGATAATAGTGTGTCATGAATTTTTGTGCATGCTTCTGGATCATCTGTAATTACATCAAAGGCTCGGCTCAAGAGTGTCCTGCCGACCAGCTTATGCCCAACCCTTTCTGTCCGCAGAACGTCGCCTGCGACTCCCGCACGCCGTTTGCCCCGGCCGTCCGTAGCTGGTCTTCGCGCTGCGAGCCGCGCTGGAGTTCGCGGAGGCGTCGTGGAGCTCCCATCGGGACGGCGTGTGATGCCCGCGTCGAGCTTATAAGCCGTGAGCTTCGATTGGCGGCTCACGCAGTCACCAGCTGTATGTACAGCCTCGGCCCCGACGACCCCGCTAATGGCCGAGACCGACATACCCCCGGCATGGGTCCGCTGTCCGGTGCAGCGCTGGCCGCCCGCATGCTATGCTACTTTTGGCTGTATCGCTGCCCAGCGGGAGCGCGCTCCACGCTGCGGAAGAGGTACACGTTGCGACCCGACTGAGGACTGCAACCGGATGGTGACACGTCGGCCTCTGCGCCCTGGCCGGGGCAGGCGTGACCGACGTCACAGTGGAGGAACGCCCAAACAAGACCAGCCCACCGTCGGAGCAGCATGGAAATATCATGTTCTGCCTGGACGTCGGACCCGGCGGCCGCAGTGCACCTGCACACGTGCGGAGAGGGGCGCTGGAGGCTACTCTGGAGCTTCTGCCATTCCGCGGCGCGACTGCTGGCAAAACGGCGGCGATTGAGGCGGTTGGGAACAGCTGCAGCAATGGTGATGGCGGTGATGGCGACATGGCGGTTTGGGACTTCATCTCAGCGCGGCCGCCGCCCAGGCGCCGCTGCGCCCGGCTGCTCAGCCACCTACCGGATGGCGGGGTGGCCCTTACGGCCCTCACGCCCGTTCGGTCTGCGGCCACGTTGTGGGGTGGCGGTCGCGGGGTTAGCGGCGTTGGACTTCGTCCTTTATCCAGACTGCACCGTACCATCTGAACGGATGGATCTGCCAAGAAAGATGACATCCAAGGCGGCTATGAGGCGATCACAAAGCTTCACCAAGAGCTTCTCCTTCATGGGGCCGGCCGGCCGTTAAGTCGCAACACCGGCTGCCGAGTGCCAACAGCTGCGTGCGCTGGCGCCGACGTGTTGTGGGCCGCGCTGCTGACGCCCAAGCTGCGATATCAACCATCTATGAATAAGTGGCAGCGGTGGCGGCTTGTCAGTTGTTAACGTGCCTTAACAGACGTTGCGAATAGCCCGCGTTGGAATCGCATGGTTGGGAACACAACGCAAGTAAAAATGGGCTTCCTTGATGAACCTACTTTTTAAGCATTGTAGCCTTTGTAATTTTGGATGTTTTGCTGTAGATATTATTTTCTACATATATACTATATAGGCACTCACGTGCTTTAAATCGCGCAATGCAATTGAACCATGGTAAAGACAATGATAAATGAACTGAGAGCTGACATGCCCCATGCTTTGTGTGTGTATGTGTGTGTGGGTGTGTGTGTGTGTGTTTTTTTTTTTTTTTTTTTTTGGCGAGTCGATAAAAGTGGTTTTGGACACTGGATGAGTTTTTAGGGGTGTGGTGAGGGGGGATGTAATTCCACAGACCTTAATTTTATTGTTGGGTTAGGCCCTTTCGGTCGTCAAGACCATTGCAGAGCCGGAAGGATGATAGGAATTAGGGGGAGACATTGGTCTGGGCAGGCACCCTAGTGAGTCGCCGGGGCTGAGCCCGTTCCACAGACCTTCTGTCAGATTCACTAATGCAGTAGGTCTGTGCGGTGTTTAGTTATCGGAGCATTCTTTGAAAGTCGTGAATAGGGCCACCGAGTACCTAAATCCGTGATATTCCCCCACAAAAACTTCTTTTAAATAACCGGGGATAGGTACATGAGCAGAGTAAATGCTATTACGAACGCCTATCACAATGCTGAGCGAATAGGAAAATCCATAGATGGAGAATTGTGCCGCGTTACGGGTGCTCGGGCGCAGCCAATCCACCGTTACCCCAGCGGTGACCTTGACCCGCATCGTCTGTCTCGGCTCCAAAGCCAAACCGGCGTGGAATTGGGAGCGTTCGAGCACTCATGGTCCAGCGCAATTCTCCACCTAAATCCATTCCTGATACACATTTGCTTGCTCATAGTCATGTAACCCCGGTAAATTCACCCAACTTTCATATTGGTCGCTCCATAGACAGATGGCCACAGAGATCAACTTAAAAGGCCATTGTTGCATTCATTTAGTGGAGATCATTAAAGAGCCGTGACAGGCCACAAGTCGCGTGACATCATACGTGTAACGACCAATGACGTCGGCCTGCAAAACCCAATGGAAGCGGCTAGCAGCGTGCAATAAAACAGGGCGCTGCTTTCTAAATGTCTGTCGTGCGCCATAAATGAATATATTCTGTGTAGCCTGGCAACTCAGTATCTTTTTTTTAACTATTGTACTAGTATTTAATAATTTCATAATTTTATAATTGTGCTTACGCTTTATGTTGATATTAGTGATAAATCCTTAGATAAAGTAAATCGATGTGATATTTAATAGAAAAATAGCAAACTAACGCACCATTCATTCGAAAGCTGGGGAACCTACTAAAAAGAACTACTAAAATTCCTGAGGAACCAAAGGATCAAATGGGGATTAAATAGATGCCTGCTATTCCGTCGTGAAAACCAGGGCATATTTTAACAAATTTTTACTGCGTCCCAAAGTTGAGCAGAGGGCACGTGTTACGACTAAGGGCACAGGGCAAGGAATAGAGTAGGGCACTGAGGAGGGCAGAAAGATAGGGCACGGCAGGTTACAGGGCATGGCACAGGACATTTTAGAGGGAAGGTTACAGGTCAGGGAACCGGACAGGGCACAGGGCAGGGACGCAGTGGGTCAAATCAGCAGGGGCTACGTCCAAAGGCGAGGGGGCTGCGTCCCAAAATGGGACGCAGTAAGTGCCTTAAAATATGCCCTGGTGAAAACGGCCAATGTAACGACTTTATCACAGCGATTATAGCGCTGAAAGCTATAGGCAATAACGTATCATATGTATGAAGGAACCTGACATGAATGAATTCCGACCTTGAGATACGATCGCGGAGAAGCCAGTGCGGGCATCCAGCAACGTGGTTATTGATGGCGTAACTTACCATATCCTTAACTTATCAGTACCAAAGTTCCGTAATTCACAAATTGTATTCAAACACCGATACTTTGCAGTAACTAGTCTGCGTTTTGGCTTGTTAACTGAAACACGTTGCAGCTTCTTTGTGAGCACTATTTTAGTTTTGTGTATGCGAAGATCCATTTCCACTTCGTTCTTTTCTTTGTTGTTATGGCAGCGAAGTTCACCCTGCACTCATCGCGGAATTTTCATAAAATATTAAAGGGTACATAATTCTGCCATTATTCTTTCATGCAGCATTGCGCATATCAAAAATATGTAACTACTAATCAGAGGACAAAAAAGCAGCCTCATCAAACACATACGAGTATTCTGCAGGCCGCCGCCGGAAAATACCTGCTGTGTAAATAGGCTGCCGTGTTTGCTCTCTTTGGTATTCTGTAGACGTGTGCCTCAATTTATCTTCGTTCGCCAGTCGGTGAGTGGGCATCTTAATTAGCGCAGATATACACCCACCCAGAGTGGCCAAGACACAAAGCGGGCGCGCCTCTAAGGTGACTCTGCATCTTCATTAAATCCCAGTGAGCAATCAAGCCAGCTGCTGCTCCTTGGGGACACAATGGTGGTCGCTGTCCGTTCTTCCAGAAATAGGTATTAGCCAGGTAGCCATAAATGTAAATTGGTGGTCAGAAGAGGCGGTCTGGAGAAAGGAGAAATGCTGAAGAATAAAAAGATTTAGCAAAATGCTTGATTATAAAACGTCGCCATTTACATAAGCCCTACCAATTACCACTCAACAGTCTCATCAAATTGTTTATATGTAAACATAGCGAGGAATAACATAATTTACTAATTAATAGAAATTGTTATTAGAAGTTGTCTTTCCCCTAAGGTGGCGACGGGCTAGTGGAAAACAGCTCCAATTGGGCAAACAACACCCCTTTATCTGTTTTCCGCAGCTGCACTCTGGACCGGCACCCCACGCTGTCGTCATGGTTCAACAAGCGCTCGGTGCGCAGCGCGCGCTGGTCGCTGGTGCGCCGGCTGCGGCGCTGGGCGGCCGCGCCCGACCAGCCGCGTTCGGCCAGCGCCGGTCGGCGGCGGCTCGCCGGCGGAAGGAAGCGGAGACGGCGGAGGCGTAGACGTAAGTGAACCGGTGAAAAGAAACGCCAGCCAACGATGAAATGTGAAAGGGAACGGTGAAATGGAACGGTAAAGCAGAAAGTGAGAAATGGAAGTTGTTTATTGAAATCCTTGCCGGGGTGTTTTGCTGTAATACATGACCATGGAAATACTTGTTCATTATATCTGGTCTTATTTACAATAATTATCTTTAAAAGAATCTAAATTAACAAATCTTAAACTATTTTGGAAGCATCCATTCCTAAGCCAAGAGTCGTTTTCAAGAACTTCGTTGATTAGATTGCCCAAAAGGATCTTGGCTCAGCGGACATAGATTTGCCAAGATGAAGTTTGACATTGCGTTCATGACCATTACGCTTACATAGCTTTAGTCAATATTGAGCCGTGTCGGAGTTTTAGAAAACTTTTGCTCTGTTAACTGGATTCATCCAAAGTATTTGGGGTGAGTTGGTGCGGATGTCCGACTGTCGTCGGCTGGTCTCTGGGAACAATGGGCCACCAGTCGCTCCGCCGGCTTCTCGGCCCGTGTGTACCCGACGCACTCGATCTCTGACATGTCAGCAGCAGGAACAGACCTTGGTTTGGTGCTGTTTGGTTCCAACGTTGCTGCATAAGCAATCTATTTATGGCATTGCTAGCAGAGTTGCTAAGTGATTAATGAAATTTATTGCTGTTATTTCAAAGCTATATCAGCATTGCTTAACCCGCGCACCGACGGGGGTCTGCGCCAACTTCGCACCGACGGGGGGGGGGCGGATGACCGCCCCCCCCCTGAGATCTCGAGAACGAAGCAAGATAGCGACAAGCGGTAAACGGCATCGGATACGCACGGTCAAGATCTAAATTTTTACTAAGGTCAATGTCAGGTCAGGTCAAAGATGACGTCACAGGGGTCGAAAAAGTCAAAATGGCGGCGCTAGATATGGAGAGAGTTTGTCTCGAATAACTTTCGAATTAGTCAAGATAGGAGCAAACTAAGGACATCATCGTGATCCTCTTGTCAATCCGCATCGAATGATATATATGTTGACCTCGAAAGGTCAAGGTCAAAGGTTGACCTCAGGTCACGTGACCTCGAGGTCATCATGTATATCATTCGATGCGTCTTGACGAGCTGAACACAATGAGACCATCCACGCGGCTTTATCTTGTTCCTGTACGGAGTTATTGGCCAAAAACCTTTGGTGACCTTTGATGACGTCACATGACCTCACAGGTGCCCAATAGCAAAACAGACCTCAAGGTAGTGAAGGTTGATCGTATATGAAGTCAGGTATGGTATATGGGGCCATTCCGACCCGTTTTAGTGGTAAAAACGGAGTTGATTTTTCCCCATTGACTTATAATGGGGAGGTCGCGAAATTGACCTGACCTTAGGTCACCGATATCAAAATTCCGAGATAAACAAATTGTAGCTACTAATGACCTAATAACATCCTGCGACTTTCAAAGGCCTCCGACATCTACTGTAGCTCTGGCACGGTGACAAAGTTGCAAAAAAGTGACTTGAGGTTGGGTCATTCAAAGTGACCTGGTGACCTGACCTTAAAAGGTAGGCGGTTCAAACTTGCACACCATGTGTAAAATTGATGAGGGAATAGTCTTACTAAATTTCGAGGCGCTACGCGCCGCGGTTTTCCCGCTATTCGCGAAAAACCTCAGGGGGGGGGGCGGATATCCGCCCCCCCCCGTCGGTGCGCGGGTTAAGTGCTATGATACTGAAGAAGATGATAATTTTGAATTGCGAAAGTTATCTGAATTCTTCACACGGTGAATTCATTATAAGTGTGCATGAAACTATGTCGTTCAAAATTCATCTCCATTCAAACTTTGGAACCAAACTTCATGTAACCCACTTGCATTCGCTAACTTACCATCCTCTCCGTTACAGAGCCATGCGAACCGATCCCCAACGAGTCTTACATACGCGTGGAGGTGGTGCGTCCCGGCAAGGACGCCAACAACACCTTCTCACGCGGCTCTCGGGTCAAGGTCATCTGCGGTCACGGCTACGAACTAAACATCGGCAACCGGCTGGCGCGCTGCGTGCGGGGCCGCTGGAAGCCAGAAAAACCAAACTGTGTTGCCAGTGAGTGGATCGATGACTCTCACGGCCGGCTTAACTTGACCCGTTAGGAGGCACCGGGATGTGATTGAGAAATACGGCAGGCATGAGGAGATGATGAAAAGCACGGTTATGCCGTTGGCACAAAAATAGCGTATTATTCGCTCTGTATCCTTTAATCTTGTAAAACATGAAAGTACTTTTTATTTGGTCTAATTATAGAATGATCTATAGCTTTGCATTCATTAATTAGCTGTGCATGAAGTCTGTCGAGCAATGACCAAACATTATTTCACCCTCTACATGCAGCATGACACGGTTAGATGCACTGAAATAAGTCTTGTGATGCAGCTGAATAAGCCAGATGTAAAACTAAGGGATGACCCCAAATCTCATAGCCCTGACATAATGGTAAAATCACGCTACTTACCACGCTACATAGTGTCACATAATTTCACTGTAAGTAGCCAGCGAGGCATGTTTAGTACATTTTACACTCTCGGATGTTGCACGTCAGGCAGCTGTCTGCTAACAGAACGAACCGGGCCCGGCCGGCGGAGGACGGTGATGGTATGCGGTGGATGGTTGCCAGGGAGCTGCGATTCATGAATGACTAATGTATAGATGGTGCTGAGTCTCGTCTATCTTATCTCCATTAGCGGGTGATGTCGGATAGCCGATTGAATAGCTGAGTAGAGGAAGGGGTCCGAGCCGATTGATTGCTGTCTACGGTATTCTGAACACGGTCACGTTAACATACAACTCACAAGCGCAGTAAGTCCAATTGGGCACTTATAGTTCAACAATTAAGTGCGGGCCGCTATGGCCATGTTCTAAACCATTTTTTTCATTAACCCTCGCCCGTATTGGTGTTTTTCCAGCCGCGAACGTATAAGGGGGGGGGGGGGTCCGTTGGACCCCCCCTTGCCGTTTCGCCCCTGATCGAGCTAGAGCTTCGCGGAAAAAACGGGCGTGTTGCCCGTGACGAGAGGAAGCCGATGATACCTAATTTTAAGGTCCTAGGTCATTGGTTGACCTTGCAGGTCAGGTCAATGACCCAAAAGTCGGGAAAATCGGGACCTGTTAGAACGTCGTAAAGTGTGACTGCTAAGGGGTTTTTCGGGGCGCTGATCACGAATATCATGTTAGTTTTGTTCACAGATAATGTCTTTATGCATTTAGTCCAGGTCGGGTCAGGTCAGGTTAGGTCAACCAGTAGGGGTCCTGCCGGGTATTCCTAGTAGGTATCAGCCGCCTCTGACAGCTTCGTAACATGTTACGAGGCCCAAAACTACTTCGTAAATGTTCATATGGTTGCTAAATTCGAATTCAGCTCCAAAAACTGCACACAGAAAAATATTGACACCGTTAGCGGTGTAATTGCACAGTACATATCTGAGCACTTGAGGAAAGTTAATTTAGTCCCTTCCCCGCTTAAATTACTCGCGCTTCCAAATGAACACCAGGAAGAAGGTAATAGAACACTGTTAGGAGGGTTGGGTGTTTTACTACATGTAGCAAAACACCCAACCCTCCTAACAGTGTTCTATTACCTTCTTCCTGGTGTTCATTTGGAAGCGCGAGTAATTTAAGCGGGGAAGGGACTAAATTAACTTTCCTCAAGTGCTCAGATATGTACTGTGCAATTACACCGCTAACGGTGTTAATATTTTTCTGTGTGTGGCCTAGAAACATGTAAAACTCGAAAAAGTGAACCGAGGTCACCAAAGGTCAATGACCTGACCTGACCTTCAGGTGACCTTGACACCAACCCTAATGCATGGGGGCAACATCATATCACATGTTTGAACGCTTGAAACCACGAAAAGACTGCAAGCGCGCGGCTAATGCGAGCCGACATACGCCGAATCGCGATTCCGGCCAAACATGGTCTCGAAAAGTAGGTCACAGGTCAAAGGTCATTGGGGTCAGGGTCATGAAATTTTCAGGCTAGGTGTAAAATTGATTAACGCGAGGGTACTGAAAGTTTCATCGCGATCGGCCGCTTTTTACGCGAGTTATTTGCGAAAAACCATGGGAGGGTCCGTTCGACCCCCCCCCCTATACGGGCGAGGGTTAATGTGCCTACACAGCAATGTTAAGCATGAAGCACAATGGTGTGAGGCTTGCACTACCCAATAAAACCTTCACGATTATATTTTGCCGAACTACGCCTCCGCCACTGTCTTGGTGTGACCACTGCGCAGCGCTTTTATTTGGGGGCAGTTAATTTTCTGATGGCGCTTGGAACGATAGTGGGAAGATCAAAGCAGCCTCTGGTCTCCATCAACCCCAGACATTCGCCAGATTGGAAATGGCGAAATGGGAAAACATGGAAACTTAGAAAATGATGCGCGTTGGAGACATCTTTGTTCGTTATTTGCTAGGGAACGTGTGCAGCGCATATTTCATTGTGTCTTTCGAATATGGTTAAATGTTTTGTGCAGGGTAATTATTATCTTGATATTTTTTTCCTCCGAATCAGGTTTTGTGATTTGTTTCTCACGGTAAGAACGTCATCTTCGTCATCCTTATAAGTTAACTGATTGTGCTAGCTGTTGAGAAATCGAATATGTAAGAAGGCTCTACTCCCGCCCTTCAACGTCAGACAGGCTCCGACGCAGTGTCTCCCTTCCGCCAGTGTCCTGCTCGCTGCCAGAGGTCAAGAACGGAGTGTGGATGCAGCGCGGCGAGCCGGTACCGACCTCCGAGCAGGTCAGCCACGAGACAGTGGTAGACCTCAGCTGTGAGGAGGGCTACACCGTGCAGGGCGCCACGGCGGTGACCTGCTGGTATGGCTTCCTCACCAACCAGGTGCCCGAGTGCGCGCCCGGTGAGTACAGATGGGCCGAGGTGCGCCCGGGATTTGAGGTGTAGCTGGGTATTTGGAACGATAGGCTTTGAGGTGTCATTGCTTGATTGCAACTAAATTTTGCCTTAGTTGATTTGCAACATGTTGAACACCTTGGCGCTACAAGAGGCATCGCATAATGATCCTGAATGTTTGCATTTTTACTATAGGTATGTTTATTATTGGCGAGCAGTTCAGCCTTCATTCCTTTTTTATCATCTTCAGTCGATCCTGAGGTTGATTCCCCAATCGTTCACCTGTTCTGCGCGTTTATCGTTAAGTCGAATCGACACAGATTAGTCGATTTTATAATAGAAACACTGAAGAAACAGCCTTTAGTGGCGCGAGACGTGCTGAGCGGCACAGCATCATTCCAGGCGCTCGTGCGTGCTGCCATCTAGTGACAGTGGTAGACACTATCGGAGCGGCGCGGCATCGCCCACCACCGCGCCGTGCTGCCGATCGCCCACAGGGTGAAATCAACAAGGTCCTCTTGTATTTTGTCACCTGCTTTACATGCACAATTTCACAGCTACATGGTGTTTTATTGACGCAACGATTTTCCTCCATACCATCGTATTAACTACCAGTATACGGACCAGTACTGGACCACAAGGGATCTTATGTATTAATCCAGTTTACCAACTACGATGTGGACCCTAAATAGACCCTTTCGTGTCTACTCTAGTCCACTCTCACTAAACCTAAACCTAAACCTAAGCCTAAAGAGGAAGCTGGGAACACGTCATGCTGTCTATGAAGCGTCCACGGTCCAGGGAATGCGATTATCTGACTTGCAAGACATGTCATGATTATTCGTTATGGATGGGGTACGATATTTGATTTTGTTATTTGTTATTCGATATTTATCGCATCGTTAATCGCTAATTTATTTTACACTCAGTTTCGCCTAACCAACAATTCTGCAGTACGTTTAACAATTCAACATTACGGGAAAAGTGGCCGGGCCAGTCAGTTATATTCCCAGGCGGATTTGGATCCATTCCGTGGCTGCTGATCCTCGACTCATAAACAGCTCTGCTTGGCCAGCGATCGATACACAATGTTCAATTTATGGCCGCCGCCCACTGAGGTCGCTTATTGGCCGGGCGGGGCTTGCCGCGACTTTTGCCATCTGTTGCGACAAATGTACTCGGCTGTTAATTTCGGCGGGACAGCGCATCTGGACAGCGGGCTAGCACGTATTACAGCCGTAACTCGAAACCTTCGAACCAATTACAAGGATGAAAATAACAACTACTTTTTGGTGTATCGAACTTCATTGATTTTCAACGATGCTAAATAACACTGTTGTTTTCATCCTCTTTTCATTATCATCCTCACCTTTACCGATCGTCTATCTTAGCTCACTTTCCCTACTCTTTCCATGCCTTTAGCTCATCCGCTCCCCTCTCGCCTATTTCAGCTCACCCTCGTCCCTCTTCATAGCTCACCCTCTCTCCTCTCCCCTATTTCAGCTCACCCTCGTCCTTCTCATAGCTCACCCTCTCTCCTCTCCCCTGTTTCAGCTCCATGTCAGCTGCCGACGCTGTCGAACGGCTCCTACACGGAGCCCGGCTACAAGTCGGGCCTGTTTGTGGCACACAATTTCGGCGTGGCGTACCAGTGTGATCCGGGCTTTCTGGCGGCCAGCGAGCCGCCGGTGCTGTGCCAGTCGGGTCGGTTCACACCAGCCCCGCCACAGTGTCAGATGGGACTGCTCAACACGGTCAATGGTGGGTAAACAGCTGGAAGACCGTGACCGGCAACTAGAGGTCTGCACCGGCCGGCTGCAGCCGCGGCTGGCTGCAGCCCCACGGCTGTGGGCCGGGGCGGCTGCAAATATCTCCAAGAACACGGCTACGGCTGTGGCCACGGCTGTGAGATTTCAAGCTCAATCTTAAGTACTCAAATATAAAATTTTAAATCCTAAATCTTACATTCTGATAAGCAGTCTAGCCTGTAAAAATCATGCAAATGATGCCCAGCAACATTGAAAGTGGTGAAGCCTTTGAAAACCTGTAATGGTTTTACCATTTGCTGTAGGGGAGTTTGCACTCTGGTACAGAATACTAATTATAGGTACCAATTGTTCCTTCATCATCAAGAGCTTGACAGTTTCAGAAAATGCAACATGTTGCATTGTCACATCCCTCTCAAATCAATCTCACCTGGTCATTAGGAGAGCACCTTACAGCTATTGAAGACGAGCATTCAATAATTCTTTTAGGTAATAGAAAAAGAAATCACGCCTAGGTAAAGGCAGGTAAAGGCTTCATAAAATATTATCTAAAATAACTCTTAGATGTATTTCTGGATTTTCGGCAAGTCCAATTACATAATATAAAACTGGCGCTTTATGTTCTAACTGGTGTGTGAGTGACCGCTAACAGAAAATGCTGATCAACGAAGCCAATGGAATTCGATTATAAGTGAGCATGAACCTTACTTACGGTGAAAACCCTGAACACGTAATCCACATGACGGTTAAAACCCTGAACACAATATTTCTTACGCGAGCTGTTGACTTTACTAATAAAATGACGTCTTCTTCTGAAAATGTAAAAATTTGACAATTAATCTTTGTTTGAGAGCAAGTTTTCAACTGTATAGCATTATTATCTATTAATTATAATTTTTATGGCTGTTTATAGGGACACAAAACAATCAATTGCCTCTTCTTTGCTATTGACGTCATTAAAAACTCAAGTAAAATATTTGATTGAAAGAGGCAATTGTGGCTCGCAGGTCCTTGGGGATTTGAGCCTTGATTTGAGCGAAGATCATTATTTGGAAAAACCAAAATAGATGAATGTTTTTCTTTCTTGGATGCTCACTAGTGTTTTGATGCCTTGCATATCAAATTAGTTTGAGACTTGCTCAGAAGGCTGCTTCAAGCCTGGCATATCACACCCCAGAAAATATGCAAGGTAAGAAAGAAGCAAGAGTTTTGACTAGACAATCACTGTTTGACAGTCCATCAACTCCAGTTTCATTTTCCATACCTAACATTGATAATGAAAAGCATCAGGGTCTGTTGTTCTGTCCCACAACCATGCCTCAGGATTTGGCATTAGATGTCTACACTGCTAGTGCTTCTATTCTGGTTCGTTGTTTATGTTTTCTGTTAATGTAGGTACCTACCTACCCATCTTTCTTAACCCCTTGCAAGGGCTTGTGTAGGCATGCGATGCGCATCAGGCTTCAGGCCTTCGGCCTAAAGCCAGATACACAACCACTTAAACCTATGATGCTTTATGAGCTTGAGAATCTATAACCTATTGCAATGTGCTTTTGGCTATATGTTTCAACTAAAAACAACTTATTATATACTATTTGGTTGCATTTCATTGAAAGTATCCACGGCCGGCTGACGGCTGGCTGCCCACAGTTTGCCACGGCTGTGGGCGGCTGTGGCTGTGGAGCCACGGCTGCGGGGCGGCTAGGCTGTGGAAAATTGCAGCCGTGCAGAACTCTACCGGCAACGGGAGAAGGGCGGGGGTCCCACGAATCGGAATATGTTTTGGATTTAAATGTCGTTGGATGCAAATAATGTTTTTGTTAATATTGCATATTCCATCGCAAAGAAATACTGGATTATGCAGCTTGCAACTACTAATCAAATTTCAGTAGAAAACATCCATTGGTGAAATCGTAAGTGGGAGAAAATATCGTCCATGAGTAATATGTAGTAATGCGGTAAAGGTCACAAATTACTCACCCTTTGGAAATCATGGGCAGCACCACTGCGGAATATTACGTCATCGTTCGATAAATCCCTCATCATGGCTTGAAATTGGACGACACAGTTGCCAATAAGTTCGAGGCGCACCTGCCCTCAGGGACCGGATTGTCCATGGCCGTTCGTCCAACTGTGCGGCTGCAGTAACGTTGATTAGTGTCGAGATATTCTGGCACAGCGGCATCCGGCGAGTATTTCAGGAGCGGCTCATTCTTCTAGTAACCGATTTATTTATACAGCCACGTTTCGTGTAATATTGATCTAGAATGTAGATCCTGGTGACTATAAATAAATCTGCAAAATGTCACACTGCACGGACGACGTGATTGTGCAATCTGCATTTTATTGCCTAGCAACGCTGTGTCATGCTTTACATAAACTACTCCGCACGTCTCAGCTTTTTACCGTGTGTGTATTTCCATTAGCTGCGTTGCGTACATCTATAACTAGGCTTACTCCCATTGTGTCCTGTTTTCTATTGTGCGCTGTCATGCCCAATTTTCCCGCTCCCCTCCCCAGATTATGCTGGAGAGCCTCTGCAGCTGACCGAGGTGCTGCCAGAGGGCACACTGGCCCAGCGCTCAGAATATGCCGTCGGAGGGGATATCACTGCCGGTGACCTCAGCGGGCTGAGGAAACCGTGCGGCCCGCCGGCGCAGATTCAGAACAGTGTCATCTACACGGACGGCCAGCTGGCCAATGGCACCGAAAAACAGTCAGTTCGAGGGGGGCACCGGGGCGCTGCTGTGGGCTGCTGGGCAGGGGGGGGGGGGCTGGATGAATACTGGAGACGAATGGATAAGTACGGGATGTGGGTGAAGGGAGATTCCAGAAGATTTTCAAACAGCATACTGGAGTAGTACAATTAAATGAATTGTGTTATTTGTAGACAACTTTAGTTACAATAAAACGCAGTAGAATTCCTTTACTGTTGAAAAACGTGTCTGGCATTTTATCATTTGAGCACTATCGTTCCACTGACAGAGACATTAAAAGGACGGCTCGGTCTCTGAAAATAGCCTTAACTGAACGTAGCTGCTGAAAATGCCTCCAAACGACTGACGTGCCATCCAGTTAGACGACTCGGGGGCCCATTCGGCCGCCAGTGATCTGTCATAACGCCTCCTGTATGGCGCTCTGAGACTTCTTCCACGCCGCCTGCTGCCGTGGGCTTTCTGATAAAACAGCTCAATATTATTTTCCTACTGACTCTGAGGTGCGATCGCTACATTCGATTCTTTAGTGCATTTGTTCTTTATGCTTTTTGCACTTCATCAAGCCTTCATCCTAAAAACGTGCCGCACCCCCTCCCAATGACCCCTAGAGGTAGGCAAGGCAAAATATCACGCGGAGCCAGGCACACTGAGAGCTGCTCCGCACTGCCGTCCTCTTCCCGACCAAAAACTGGTAAACAGAGCATTGTGCGGCGTTTGCGTTATCGTGGTGCAGCAGCCGCGAGCTTACATCCCACATCGCACGTCGCTCACCGCACACTGAATGACACAGACGCCGTTGTTTTGATGCCATTAACCGGAGGTTGTATGTCTGTGTGCTGGTCGGCCAGGTTTCCGGATGGCTCGGAGGTGACGTTTGACTGCGTCACTGGAGTCGGGGGCGAGAAGACGTCCTGGAGGATAATGTGCGAGGATGGCAGCTGGGTCGGCCGCTCGCTCAGCTGTGGTTAGTGAAACTGGGCGGGGTGGGGGGGGAGGGGGTCGGCCACTTTCTCAGTTTCGGGCAGTGAGACTGGGCAGGGGTGGGCACATAGTTCCCGAACAGCTCGAGTAGCTCAGAGTTGCCAACAAACAAGAAAGTTAGGCATGTTGTGGTCAATAGCACGCCAATGTTTTGGAAAGTTCGTGAGAAAAAGATAAAGTTTTAAGTAATGATTGATTATTTTGCGAGATTATCATTATGCAGATATACCCGTAGGTATGATGCTGTTATCATCGGGCATGTTGCCATTTTAGAAAACCATGCCTTGTTTTGAATCGAGCCGTTTTTTTATTGAGTGTTACATTCCCAGCTTATTGTTTGATGCGGAGATCGTCAGTTGTTTATACAACGTTTCGTGGCATTTTCTTGTATCATTTCTTTCTAGGTTGACCTTGATGGTTGTGTGCCTTTCATTTCAGATGAAAATGACTTGCAAGATCCAATGTACATGAGGAACAAGTCATGCACGTTTTATAACGACATGATCAATGTGATGACCTTCTTCCAAGACCAGCCAGTGCTGGAAAAGAAGGTCGAATTTCCTCCGGGAACCAAACTAGTGAGTCTAGTCTCCCAGTGGTTTCAATTTAATTTGCAATAATCAGGATTGTGAAATATTTCTCCCGAGAGGTTTCTTCACTGTTGTTTCTAAGATGAGGTTTGATTGCATTGCGAACTCAATTGAATGAAGTAGCCAGATATTTCTTAGCACTGACGTCTGGGGTAAATCCCGAGGCAACTGAATACGAATGGGGCTGATGCATTTTCCAAGATAAACATCATTTCATAACATGCATTTTTCATTAGCATGAGTGGGTTAGATCAGTGCCGTCTATAACGATATGCTTATCATCTCAGAATCAAATGTTGGTGCTCTGAGACCTGAGTACTACGGATTTATTTCTTTAAAAAGCACGAACTAGCTGTATTATATAAACATTTGAGGCTTAGAGAAGACTTTTTTTGAAACCATAAACTCATTAGAGCTATCTGAAGAGTGAATAACTTGACAGTTAATAAAGCTCTTTCACTATATTTGATGCCAAAATTACGAGAATATCTTCGGGCGATCGCCAAGTGTGAAACGTGCCATATTTCCTCGTTAGCAGGAAACTTAGTGACTAACTTATGATTATAACCAATGTCATCACCACGATGCACATATTCACGGACTCACTCATTCACTCATTTCCAGACGTTCCGGTGCGATGACATTGGCAAGTTCGCCATGATCGGCAGCAACCAGCGCACCTGTGTGAGAGGCGACTGGGACGGTGCACGGCCCATCTGCTTCGGGCTCAACCAGATGAACGACTATGCACGTCAGTATACCGGATGGATGCGTGGTTAGGGAGTGGTGATGGGGTGATGATGGGATGGTGATAAGAAGGTGATGGAATGGTGATGAGATGGCGATGGAATGTTTATGCGATGGTGATGGGATGACGAAAGTGGCGTCTGATGATTGATGATGAATGGACGTATTTCCATAGGTAAGGCTAGGGCATGGCGTCCATTTTGCGTTTATAAACTTACACAAATCTAATAAAAATGTTGATGAATGTCAAAATGACATTCTCGACAACATGTGAGGGTTCAAAATTTTCTAACGACATGAGTAAACCCTAACTTTACGGACGTTTAGTATTCATTAATCAATAAATTTATGCCTGTTCCGTATGCCACCAGTGGAGAAACCTCCGACGATTCTGTTCCGGCACAAGTCGGGGCCGATCGCTCAGAGCAATGACGGCAAGCTGATCGTGTACCCCGGCGCCGTGCTGCACCTCGAGTGTCTGTGGATCAGAAAGTTCGGCTCCCCGACGTGGGAGGTATCGCATCAGCACAGGTAAAGGATGTTATTGAGGGCATGCTTGTTCATCAGGGAGTTAATAGCCGTTTTCACGACGGCCATCTGGTACACATTTGGTGCACGTCTGGCGCAGATTAGGTGCAGATTTGGTCAAATTAGGTTCAGTGCGTCTCTTCTTAGCTATCAGCTAGGGTTGCACTAATTGCTTATATGCATGCTTTGTCATATTATCAGAGAGCATCATCGATTTAAACACTGAAATAAATTCTTAAGGCCTGGCTACACTATGCGTTTTCTTCGTGCGTTTTTTGCGTGTTTGCGTGTTTTGCGTGATATCGTTCTAGAAAAAGGAACGATATCGTTTTTGTGATGTTTTTCACCTTAAATTTTAGTTACATAAGAGTTATATTAGCTTTTGTATATAACCAAAGTAAAAATTATATTGTTTATAACTTTTTTCCTAGAACGATATTACGCAAAACACGCAAACCTGCAAAAACGCACGCAGAAAACGCATAGTGTAGCCAGACCTTTAAAATAAAGATATTTGCTGTAAAAGAGATTAGATGCAGATTTGGTCAAATTAGGTGCACTCGCCGGATAGCCCGTCGTGAAAACGGCTAATGTCACCACTCACCATCGATGAGCAGGAGTACATCCTTTGCATTCGTTGCATCCGCATTTCGTTTTAGATGTGGCTTGACTCTAATGAGCTCCATCCGACTTACCTATTCGAGTCGATCTGTGCTGATCCACCCTGACCTATCCTTTTTGACCCGATTTCTATGGACTGCATTGGCTTGACCTGCAGGACCTACCCTCACGGCTGGACGACGGAGGAGGGGCGCGACTCGAACCTTGAGTACCGTCTGAGCATCTACCACGCCCAGGCCGAGGACTCGGGTTCTTACACCTGTGTCACACCTCCTCGGCACCGCCACGGAGTGCACATAGAGGTCAAAGGTCAGTCAGCAGGGCCGGTCTGAACAGCCCAGAGCTCAGCCAAATGGCCTCTCCTTATTGGAGCCACTCGCCGGGCCGGCTAACGCGAACAAAGGTCGACCCATTCATAGGATAGCGTGGTAGTGTCTGGCTCAGCGGCGCGACGCCGAAATGTATCGTCTCATATTGCGCTAGGTAAATGCCCTCATCTCAATTTGGCGCTGTGGCCCCTATCTCTGAATGCAATTGCTGTCCACACTAACTCAGGTCATTCGTGGTGGTTAGGTAGTAACTTTTCGATTGCACGTGTCTGGCTGACCGTTGTTATTCCGTTATTGACCCTTGTCTGCGAACGACAGCGGTGCGATGCCCAATCGTGCCGGAACGGCCGGGCCTGTACAAGAGCACACACGATACCAAGATGAACACCCAGGTGGAATTTTCGTGTGCCAATGGGAACACTCTGATTGGCGCGCACCAGATGACCTGCCTGCCCTCGGGCAACTGGAGCGCGCCGATGCCGCACTGTGAAACAATCGGTGAGCACTGGCGCCCCGGCCTCGCCGCAGACAGGCTAGGTGGGTGCCCGGCCGGCGTCCCAGCTGTGCCCATAGGTGTGCGTGTGCCGTCCCCTCTGCACCTATGCACCGAACGCCACGCTTGTCACTGTGTTTGTACTGCCTGGATTGGCTGGTAATGCGGCGATTGCTGCGTTTGTCTGTAATTTTGGGTTCTGTTTGGGTGTGGTGTTGTTTGTTTAATTTTGGTGTTCAAGGCAAACGAACTTTGATTATTGGTGTTGCATTGATGTGTGCACTCCACACAGTAGAACATTTATGTTTGCGATGTGGTCATACAATATGCTCACATGCACACACTGCTTGGTTTTGATACTTTGAGGTCTTCGATGCTTCGAAGACTGTTGAAAATCTATTTTAACCCTCGCACCGACGCACAGTGGGGATTTTTCCGATCTAGCGCCTATTAATTCAAAAAATATTTTTTGGATTTTGGCTTATTTTTTGTGTCAGTAGGGCTAAGAAATGTCTGAATTTTTCATATATGGCATTGTTTTATCGGTATGTCCACAGCAAAACTAGGAAAAATGCTCCCAAAGTTCACACTCATGCGTGATTACTCAATGGGCTCAGCAAGGCCCGAAAGTATAGCTCAATTTCATTGTCCTGTCCTGTTGGTTTTAATCTTGCGAGGTCTTAAAGTTGCATATCGTCTGAAAGGCACCTTTATTAGGAATGGAATGGCAAGCAGAAAGTATGCCACAACCTTACTAAGGTCACAAAAATGCCCTTTACAAAAAACCCTTACAGACACCATATTGAAGGAATGGTATTCTCAATAAATGTAGGAAATCAACAATGTTCTCCACACTTTTCCACTCCGAAATATATCCTATCGAATTCGCCACTTTCTTCTGCACAAGACAACGCCTAGTTTGGCTGCCGAAACTTGCCTGAACACGGAATATTCACATTAGAGTATCTTAACACCCCACTCGAGGAGCGCTAGGGCAAACAGCACGATATAGGTATGTTCCGGACATAGGCGAATAATTTCACTTCGTGATTTATACGATGCATATTTTCTGAGACACATTCATTAGGAATAGGATGACAAGCGTAAATTATACATACCGTAACCTTATTAACCATCGCACTTGTGGGGAGGGGGAGGGGGAAGGGGTCGGATAAAACCCCATGGTTTTCCGCAAATTACTCGCGCAAAAAACGGCCGATCGCGCCGAAACTTTCGGTACCCTCGAGATCATCAATTTTACATCTAACCTAAAAATTTCATGACTCTGACCCAACTGACCTTTGACCTGTGGCATATTTCTCGAGACCATGTTTGGCCGGAATCGCGATTCGGCGTATGCCAGCTCACATTATCCGCGGTTTCCAGTCTTTTTGTGGTTTTAAACGTTCAAATATGTGAAATGATATTGGTGCCATGCATAATGGTGGGTGTCAAGGTCACGTGAAGGTCAAGTCAAGGTCATTGACCTTTTGATGACATTGGTTCACTTTTTCGAGTTTTACTTGTTTCTAGGGTAGTTTTTGGTGCTGATTTCGATTTTAGCAGCCATTTGAATATTTACGAAGTAGTTCTAGTGCCTTCGTTCCATGTTACGAAGCTATCAGAAGTAGGTGACACTTCTATGGATGGCCGGCAGGACGCCTACTAATTGATCTAACCTGACCTGACCCGACCTGGCCTAAATGCATAAAGACATCGTCTGTGATCAAAACTAACATGAAATTCGTGATCAGCACCCCAAAATACCCCGTAACACCCTAACTTTGCGAAGTTTCAAGAGGTCTCGATTTCCCAACTTTAGTTGGGTCATTAAACTGACTTGGAAAGTCAGCTTATGACCTTGGACTTTGAAATTGGATATATTCGGCCTAATTTCGTCATAGGCAGCACGCTTGACTTTTCCGCGAAGCTCTAGCTTGATCAGGGGCCAAACGGCTGAGCGGGGGGTCCAATTGAACCCCCTATACTATGTTGATTATGCACATTTACAGGTAAAATTCTCACCAGGACACACCAGCCAACATCTGTGCACAATCTGGCTACAATTCTACCTATGGTTTGCCCTCTACGAATAAATACGTGCTAGATCGGAAAAATCCCCACTGTGCGACGGGGGGGGCGGATATCCGCCCCCCCCTGAAGTTTTTCGCGAATAGCGGAAAAACCGCGGCGCGTAGCGCCGCGAAATTTGGTATGACTATAACCTCATCAATTTTACACATGGTGTGCAAGTTTGAACCTCCTACCTTTTAAGGTCAGGTCACCAGGTCACTTTGAATGACCCAACCTCAAGTCACTTTTTTGCAACTTTGTCACCGTGCCAGAGCTACAGTAGATGTCGGAGGCCTTTGAAAGTCGCAGGATATTATAAGGTCATTAGTAGCTACAATTTGTATATCTCGGAATTTTGATATCGGTGACCTAAGGTCAGGTCAATTTCGCGACCTCCCCATTATAAGTCAATGGGGGAAAAATCAACTCCCTGTTTTTACCACTAAAACGGGTTGGAATGGCCCCATATACCATACATGACTTCATATACGATCACCCTTCACTACCTTGAGGTCTGTTTTGCTGTTGGGCAGCTGTGAGGTCATGTGACGTCATCAAAGGTCACCAAAGGTTTTTGGCCAATAACTCCGTACAGGAACAAGATACAGACGCGTGGATGGTCTCATTGTGTTCAGCTCGTCAAGACGCATCGAATGATATACATGATGACCTCGAGGTCACGTGACCTGAGGTCAACCTTTGACCTTGACCTTTCGAGGTCAACATATATATATATATATATATATCATTCGATGCGGATTGACGAAAGGATCACGATGATGCCCTTAGTTTGTTCCTATCTTGACTAATTCGAAAGTTATTCGAGAAAAACTCTCCATATCTAGCGCCACACTTTGACTTTTTCGACCCCTGTGACGTCATCTTTCACCTGACCTGAAAATGACCTTAGTAAAAATTGTAGATCTTGGCCGTGCGTATCCGATGCCGTTCACCGCTTGTCGCTATCTTGCTTCGTTCTCGAGATCTCAGGGGGGGGCGGTCATCCGCCCCCCCCCGTCGGTGCGAAGTTGGCGCAGACCCCCGTCGGTGCGCGGGTTAAATTCGCTTCAGAGGCGGCTTAGGTGATGATAATGAAACAAATACTTATTGGGTCTCCATGAATTCACCTGGAAGTAAGCTCACTAAAAAAAGATAATACGTATATATTATTGTAAGCATTACTGGATGCTGAATAGATGTATAGGATGCGCGTTGTACGCTGTACAGTCTACTAACAAGATTCTGCCAGCCGCAGGCAGGCAGAGCCAGACGGGGTTATTTTGTCGACAGTGATGGAACACTCTCGATATCTGCAATGCATGCTACCGGAATTCGCATGTACTGTCTCATGTGGCTAACTTCTCACATCAATGTTAATTGCACCTGCATTCATTTGGATGTCGACGGAATGAGATATTGCTATTTGCTCTTTAAAAAAATTCCTTAAAATTACTTGTCCTAGGAGCTATCTGTTTCATTGGTTATGCAAGACGTTAATGATTCACTAGTCGGTACTTTGAAATTAGATGTAGCCATTAGCCATCATGTGTCTCAAGCTATACCAATTTCCAAAAAAAAGTTTTGTTATTCTGTACGTCTCGGTGTTTTATGCAACTGGTTCTGTTCTGCTCTGTACGTACATTCAGAACGTACAGAACGTTATTCTGAACGTTATTCGGTACGTACAGAATAAAGTTCTGTACGTACATACATACAGAACTTTATTTGATGACCGTTTTACGGTAACTGAAATCGGTCACCGACCTTCAACCATCCCCATTCCCCACGTTTCACCGTCCTCTCCTTTCCCCGTTAGAGCCCACGCTCCGTGGGTGTCTAGAGACTAGAGAAGCCGTTTGAGCCCGATTAGCCACTTGAGCAGGTAATTACATTCCGGAGCGGTTCTGGCGAACGAACGCCGAGGAATCCCAGAGTTTGCCGCGCTGTGGTAATCTGGCCGGCGGCTGTGGGTGGAGAGAGCTCTCAGAATCTCAGGATCGTCGCACATCCCGGATTAACAGTTTTCGCTCTTACGTGTCAGGTTGACTTTTGCCATAATGTAACTGGCACATGACAGCCCCAGAAACTGCGGTGACAGGATGAGAAATGCTGCCATGTCTATTTTTGTGATGGATGGACAGACATTTCGAGAGCGCTGTTGCCGGGTTGAACCTGTATACGTACGGGGACGGATATTGGCCTACTGAGGAGTTCAGACAACTTCAAAGGGCCTGGTGCGCCGTGGGCGCCCCGGCAGGCGGTGGGCCTACCAGCCACCTTCCGCACGGGGGGGGGGGGCGCATTTTTTTGCCCCCCCCCGTATCTCCGAAATTACTGGACGGATCTGGAAAATTCAAACGGCGTTCGATAGCCCTGTCAAATTTGTCGAAGGAAACCAAATTTCATTGACCTCGGGGTCACCGATGACGTCACAGGTCAGGTCAAAGATAAAATGTTTCACCGTTCACGGGGCTTCTAGGGAAAGCGCTATAACACCGAGTAAAACGCATTTTGTCGAAAATCAGCGATAAGGCGTCAGTTGTCTAGTACATATGTTGCTATTAGAGGTCACTGGTCATACCAGGTCAGGTCACAGGTCAGGTCACCAAAGGTCACCAAGGGTCACCACATGAGCCCAACTTTACTAAGGTTATGCGATGCATGTTTTATGGCCAGTTTTTCATTTCCAACTCAATGGTGTTCGTTATAAGACCATCAGGTACGGTTTAGGTCACTTTCTGGTGGAGGTCAGGTATCAGAGGTCAGGTCAGGTATCAGAGGTCAGGTCAAAAAAGGTCAAATTTCAAAGTTGATATTTTTGCATAAAATGGGTATCGAGTCGATGCAGCTCGTCACGGGGAGTCTAATGGTGGTCTTTGTTTTGAGCTACGAGTTCTAGAATTGCTAACAATTGAGTTTGAAAATTTGACGTCATGAATTTTGAACAGGTTTTTCGCTATAACTTGGCCAAAAAAGAGGTAGCGATCTCAAATTTGGTATGTAGATAGAAAGCGGTAGGAACTATCACACATATTCCGGTTTTTTTCGAAATTCAAAAAACTTTTTGGATTTTTTTGGCTATTATATTCAAAAAATCTTTTTTTTTATTTTTGGGGGTCAAAATCCAAAAAATCGAAAAACCGAAATAGCAATTTTGTAGCCCTCTTAATTCCACACCTTTTATGTCTGTAACCTTTTTGCTGTATCTCTAAAGCTGTAGGCCTGACAGCTCTTCCCGCGAAACCTTTTTTTGGGTCGAAAATGGCAAAAATGACGTCACTCTGACGTCATTAGCGGCCAACCTATCACAGCCTTTGGAAAAAAGTTTGGTCACCATGTGCGCTAGCTGCTCCCGGGAGGGTACTGAAAGTTTGGTGACGATCGGCGCAGCGGTTCTCGAGATATATTGAAAAAACTAAGGGGGGGGGGGCAAAAAAATGCCCCCCACCGCCTTGAAGGTTAATGGTTTGCCAATGATTGCGAGCAATATATCAAGCATTTACTGCATAACTGGTAACAACTGAAAGGTTTATATCACTATATTTTGTTATGAGACCTTGCATTAGAAAATATTTCCCAACGTTTTGCATCTTGCTGCGGCGACAGACAAGTGCCTGGAATAACAATGAAAGATCTACCGAATGTTCCATTCTGCGATATCGTAGCTCTACTAGTTTACAAGCTGTAAGTCCTGTCAAACGTCAAAATAGTGGAAATAAGATCTTTGATGGCCTCTGATGATACGTTTCATCTTATCCAAAGCATGACGCCAGTCTTTTCTTAATTGGCTTTGGCAATCTTTCAAGCACCACTGAACGTTTATCGTTACGTGGCTAAAAGCCTGAGTGTACGAGTACTAGGGGGAGAGGCGTAAAAAGAGCCCGACCCTCCGCATTGCTTTGTGCAATGATCAGACCAATGCAACTGCCACGCGTGGCTTAACTCTTCTTTAGCTTAAACATAAAACAAAATAAAAAAACCCAGCATTTCAATCAATGATAAAACATTTTTGTATGACATTCAATCTAAGACTTAAGAGAGCTCACGTAGTTATTTCCGAGCTCATCCAGGCCTTTAAAAAACAGACAGACGTTAGTCATTCTTTTTTATGCAAAGATAATGCAAATTCAGGGAAATCAGCAACAAGCTAATAAACCGTGATAAACGCAAAAAAAATCCGAACCCAGTTCATTTAAGTTTATTTAGCGTTCTGCCATTTCTAACTCTAACATCAACAATTGCGTTCCACTTTGAAGGCTAGACGACCGGCTTGCAATTAATTCCAACCACATCACGACGATTAGGATAGACGTCTCTCTCTACGACATATCCTCTGTGGGCTTATCCCTCCCTTATCAGGCGTCAGCAGAACATATATCTGCCGAATGGGCCGGCTCTCTCGGTTGTTCTTGCATGATTGATGGCAGAGTGTGTGTCGTGCTCGGTACGGCTCCCCAAGGTGTGCTGAGGGATCGACACAGGCTCAGTTCGCGGCCACCTGTGCCGATGCTACCAATGAGTCTGTGCTATTTGGTGATACATGCTTGTAGTTAGAGTTGGAAATGTGCGATGTGCTGGCGGATTGATGGCTAGATCTTTTTAAACACTGTATTGGTGTGCCGTTTAATTTTGCCAGTTTCTTCACATGCCGTTACATCCGGCAACAGTGGGCTAGTATATCATGAAAAATAAAGTAACCAGAGCCGTTTTAATCAATAAGCTGGATTTGAAAATAACCGACAAATTCACTTATTTTCATTTCCATTCAACTATTTTTTCGTTTTAGAAGTGCTCGAATCGATCCAAGGTATAATTATTTATTGTGTAGGCATGAATCATGTATTTAGTATCGACCTGCAAAATATCACCGTGGTCTATGCAATATCCAGTCGGTCTCAAAGATATTCAATGTTATTAGCTTTGACATTCTTTTGCGGTAAACTGCAAAAGTGACCAATTATTTTTGCCACACGCTATAATTGTCATCAATGACCAGTGCTCAATTGCTCATATTTGAATATTGAATGCATTTACCTCGACCCCTGTCATAGAAAAAGTGCTCCCCCTCTCAGTGAACTTACTTAGGCCCATGTCCAACAAATTATCTGTCTGTGCTGGCCCATGCTCGGCGCCCCCGCCTCTGTCCGTTACCGATCGATCAGCCCCTGGACTCTCTCATCCCCAGAGTGTCCCGAGTTCAGAAACATCCCAGACCCCAACGTCAAGGTGGCCATTCTGAACCGACAAGTGACCGGCAAGGCCATCTTCGAGTGCCCGAGGGGCTACCAAAAGGTCGGCGCCCACGAGGCGTACTGTCAGGTGAATGGACAGTGGTCGCAACAGCCGCCCACCTGTGAAGGTCAGTCAGAGCCAGTTCCGGTCTCTCTCTCTCTCTCTCTCTCTCTCTCTCTCTCTCTCTCTCTCTCTCTCTCTCTCTCTCTCTCTCTCTCTCTCTCTCTCTCTCTCTCTCTCTCTCTCTCTCTCTCTCTCTCTCTCTCTCTCTCTCTCTCTCTCTCTCTCTCTCTCTCTCTCTCTCTCTCTCTCTCTCTCTCTCTCTCTCTCTCTCTCTCTCTCTCTCTCTCTCTCTCTCTCTCTCTCTCTCTCTCTCTCTCTCTCTCTCTCTCTCTCTCTCTCTCTCTCTCTCTCTCTCTCTCTCTCTCTCTCTCTCTCTCTCTCTTTCACATTCTATCACTGTTTGAAGTTTTCTTGAACCTTTTTGTTCTTTGACGGACCCAACCACTTGCTAAATCAAGTCCGTTCTACATATGCGAATATAATCAATCGATACCTAACCATGCTACTCGCCAACTAATTAGGTGCATACGTGCTTACATTCAATATTCAGGTACTCATTTTACAGCTTGTTCACATCACAAACTGATTGCTTTCAACTTGTTTGTGCAATTAACATCGCTATACTCAGCTTAAACCGCTAGGGAAATGTTTTCCCTTTTTAGCAACGTATCCTTCATTCCCCATATGCATGTCCATTGCACATGCGTCTTATGCCCACAGAGCTGCTGTGCCAAACGCCCGAGGTGCCCGAGAACGGCATGATGACGCCCCAGGACGCGCCGCACATGGTCGGTGACGTCATCCAGTTCTCATGCAAGCACGGCTACATGATGGAGGGTCAGCCGATCGTCGAGTGCCTCGAGACCCGGGAGTGGTCTCGGGAGATACCGCAATGTGAGTCCTCTCCGCCGCGGCGCGGTGTGGTTGTGGTGATAAAGGAGAGAACGCGACATATGGCGCACTGGTGGCATTAAAGGGACTATCCCACCTTCTAAAATGTTGTTAAAACCAGTTAAATTGTGCCCGACTTTATAGATTGGATGACCAGGAACACGGTTCTGGCATTTATTTTTCATTAAACATCTTAGGCTTCCCATATTCCAAACACAAACTTTCAAATATGTGACGTCACAGCCCAAAATTACCTCCTTCCTCAGGCCACATTACTGTCATAAAGCTGATTCTTTTTACTCTGTAAGCACCACAACAAAGTTCAGACCAAGTTTTAAGCGATTTTTCAACGAACAAACCCATTTAAATCAGAATGACTAAACGAGGTGACGTCACACTAACGGTCGCTCCATGTTGAAGATAGGGCCTTGTACAAGGCCCATTTTCAAATGAAGGGAACGAATTTCTTCAACACCAAGAGGCCACGGGGGTTGCAACCTAGATATATAGTGGTTTCTGAACCTCGCCGCAAGCTTGGCTATCTCAACTCAAACCCCATGTTAAAGGTGGGATAGTCCCTTTAATCTCTAAGGATAAATGCGTTGCTCAGAGTCACTGATTATAGAATGTAGTGAGTTTATTTGAAGAGTTGGCTTAGCACCATAACTGATCAGATGACTATGTAGTTTTGTATTTAATTGCCTTTTCTTTCATATTGATGGGAAAATTGATATGGATTATTTTTTGTTATATTTGACCATGTTTCTTGTGTACCGCGTACTTGTGACCAACAACTTTCAAATGTCTGTCGGTAATTGACGAGTGCATAGGCCATGTAAAGCTCGATAGCTGCCCGATCAGTATTCAGAATGTCTTATTCGCCGTCTATCTCCGTCAGGCGTGCGGGCGTGCACGTACCCCGGCTCGACGATCGGTGGCACCATCTCCAAGGTGAAGTTCTACTACTCCATCAACGAGGTGGTGGTCTTCACGTGCGACAACGGTCTGGAGCTGGTCGGAGAGCACACTCTCGAGTGTCTGCCCGGCGGCGTCTGGTCTAGCCGCATCCCCAGTTGCGTGGGCAGGACGCTCTAGAAGATCAAACAGCGCGCGAGGAGAAGGTCGGCTTCCTCTCGAGGGTGATTACAGGATGATGGAGGCACCCATTTCGGCAGTGTGACCAGCGGACCAAGAGTTAATCACTGGCCCATCAGTGAATCATTGGACCAGGTGAAAGCGGCTGCGAGAGCTGCTCGTATACCTTCTGTGCTCCTGTGGGCTGTTCAATACCACGTTAGATGTGTGGATAAACGTGCCATGCCGTGGCTATTAAGGCCACTCAGAGTGGCCCAGCACTAAAGACATCGCGGAGACTCCTGGAGAGGTCACTGTTCTTGTTCATGAACTCATCTTAGCGAGAATACTGTTCGTAATACTCAGCTGTTTGAATTGTCAACGATGTCAATAGGTATGTAGATATGTGGGCATTCTGTACACCAGATGTAGACTTCTTTCGCTTTGAGAGCAAGGCTTTGGCGCTACAACCATTGCTAGATCTATCTCTTTGTCAATCAAGGCTGATTGTTTGACGCTGACGCTTATCAGATACATTGTTGTTATGCGAGTTCTCGGCTATATGTTGCATGTGCCGGACTATTAGGCGACTCCAATGCTGGGTTGTCTGGCTGCGAGCCGCGAGCTCTCTAGCTCTTGAGCGCTCCCCTGTGACTGACTCCGGTTGTATCGTGCAGAAAGCGCACCGCAGTTTGGCGCGCCCAGCGACCTGCGACGACGTTTTCCTTTATGTATGTTATGTGCCCTGTACATAGTTGCGCAGTTTCAGCTCCCATTACTGGCAGTTACCGCGCAGTTTGTTGTAATTGACATGGGCAGCGAAATGAACTCAGGCGGGTCCTGGTCATTTACCGGGACCCGGTGTGGGTCTCGCGACGGCTGGCTTCCGGTGGGCTCTGTAGACGGGTGCGGTTTGTTGTCTGTCTGTCCCCAGACAATCAGCTGCTAGACGGAGGTCAGACAGATGGGTCCCCAGACGCTGGAGAGCAAAATCGAACGCGACCGGTTTGTTACCGAGAATAGCCTGCCAGATACTGTCACCGAACTGTCGGCTGGCTGGATCGCCCTGTCGATACAGTGATTGTCGTAACTGTCAGCTACAACTGTGTTCGCGGGCAGCTGTGAGTGACAGTGACTGTAGCCTACTCTCGTCTGAAGCTGACTGTCAATGACCCTCACCCACACTTCCGCCGACCGGTTGCCGACGAGCCCCTCGCGGCGGAGGGAGCGGTAGCCCCTCCGCCCACGGGGAGGGGCTAAGCTGCGACCCACGGGGCGGTACGGCTGGACTGATGTGTCCGCGGACCGGGAAGGGCGGACCTGAACGGCCGCGAAGGTGCCAGATCCGCTGATCACCACCCTTCCCTGTCTGCCCCGCCAACCTGGACAGGAGCCAGAACGGTCAGTGACCGCGCGACGAGAGAAAAACGGAGACTATGTGAGGCTGCCATGAATATTCTAATGATTCGAAAAAAACGGCGACAACGGATATGCTGATGCTATAAAAAATAGTGAATAGCCGAAACTTGTAATATGGATGACCCTTTCAGCAGTCACATTGAATGCTCTCAGTTCTCATCACTTTGTTTGTTCTCGATTACATAACCCTGCGGTGCGGCAAAGCATGCTAATGTTACCGTTATGTAATGCAGATTATTCATATTCAGAAGATGCACGTATGGCGCGCCCAGATTCCGATATCTCTAGCGATTGACCTTACATCAAATGTAGTGGTGGCGTTGTTAGTGTGGCGGGTCGCCGCGCGATGGCGCTGCAGTTCCGTTGTATATCATAGTGCCCTTCCATATTGTGGTCTGTGGGCTCCTCGGGGACTGCGCGGCACACCGATGATGGCGCCGGACATCCCCCGTCGCGGGCCACTGTTTCTGACGCGAGCGCTGCGCTCGCCCTAGCTTGTTTTCCAATAAACTCTGGTGTACCGGTGCCTGTGCGTTGGATGCGGTGACGTATTTCCCTTGGGGACTGGCGACGACGCGCCCTGACACTGTGCCCACGGCCCGGCAGCTGCACTGACCTTATAGCCGATCGACTGACCAGACAGAAACACCGGGGGGCGTTCGGTGACCTTTAGGCGAGATTCAGCAAGATAGACAGTGTCTCCCTCAGAGACCGCAGGGTCAATAATCGCTGTCAAAATGACCGAGCTTCGGGTTTCGTTTCAATCAAGATAAAGTAATTATTTGTACCTACAGTTTCAAACCAATAGCGGGATTGCCGCCCGCCCACTACAGTATCACTGCAATTGATTTCTAGATACATGCATGAAATTCAAACAAATGACTTATCGCAAAAATAAGTGATTGGGACCATGATTACAAATTACTTTGTTATTGAAGAATGTACCTCATTATACAGTGTGAATGCATCATTTGATGCTCTTTCCTTGCGATTCATTATAATCAATAACTATAATTGACTTGGAATAGGTAGAAGCATCTCGGAGTCAGAACCTTAGCCACACATGAAAGACACATCTAGTTGCAAGCCATGAAGACTAAACGGGCAGGAAGGATTGGCCTTGGCTAGTGTTCCGAGTAGTGCGGCACAGCATATCTTCAGGCGCACACCACACCTGCCATCTAGCGGCGAGCATGGAAGATGAATCGGGAGTAGTGCGGCACAGCATATCTTCAGGCGCCCACCACACCTGCCATCTTGCGGCGAGTATGGAAAATGGATTGGGAGTATTGCGGCACACCATGCCTTCAGGCGTATAACGCTCCTGCCATCTAGCGGAGAGTATTCAAGACGATGCGGAGTAATGCGGCACACCATACTTTCAGGCGCACGACATCCCTGCCATCTATCGGCGAGTTTTCAAGACGAGGCGGGGGCACCGCGGCACAGCATACCTTCAGGCATATAACGCGCCCCTGCCATCCAGCGGCGAAGGTGGAAGCCAATCGTTTGGGCGGGTTGTTCGTGCAATGTCCAGAGCGTCATGTAGGTATGATTCAGATTTCGGAATCAGAATCACACATACCTACTCGGTTCATTTTTGTTTATGAATTGGGATAACTGACCGTTCAACGATCATGCAATACATCAAGGCAGCCGTTGTATAAACGCCAGAAAAAAATATGAGAAATAAGCCAAGCAAAATTATCATTCGTGTTTTCCTAAGCAACAGCGATATCCTAACTTAAATCTAGAGGATTTTAACATTCTATTGATGCTTGATGGCCACTTGCGTTCAGAGTTACGAAAATTGGTTTTACTGGACATTCACGATTCTTTCGTGTGCCGACGTATAATTTAGATTTAGAATGGCTGACGTCACCTACATAGCTGGCTGGTGGCAGCTATTCCGCTCATTTTTAGCGACTTCAAATAAATCATAAGATAAGTGAGTGACTTAAGAGTTCTGTTTACTATTCCAGCTATACACTTTCGTTCTGCATATTCACTCCACTAAAACACATTCGTTTGCCAAACCCTGGCTGTATTGTCCAATGACCACCACTAATTGACAATCCCGTGGGTCGATATGTATGGCAGCATTTCACAATTGCTGCCAGAGGCGTGCCAGCCGCTACCCTGCATTGCTGAGCATTGCTACAACTATCACACAGCGTCACACATCACACACGAAACTAGCTTATGTGCTGGGCACCTCTCATACAGCCACACACGTCGCACTTTCTACAGCCAAAGCGCCACAAATCAGACACGGACAACTGACGTGCTGGGCACCTCTCATTAAACAACATAGGTGACATATTCTACAGCCACACAGCGCTCGGCAAAAAAAAAAAAATTGACGGTACAACGGCGGACAGCCAAGTTCTTTGCTTACTGCTCATCACCAGAAATATGAAAACCTCCATGTAGGTCGGGCACGCGGTTCCAGGCATCTTCTTTGTCAAAATCGTCTAAAGCTTAGTATGGATCCCCACTAGGGCCCTCGCATGTAAGCGCCTGCACCCATTGAGCTAATGTTGTGGCTTTCAAATGCGCCCCACTTCTCAATAACAGTTGCAAGAGCATTCATCAACTTCAACAGCAAACAGTCATTCATGGCTCGTACTCGCACATTAACAAACATACATTTGCCTATAAATCAGCCATGCGCGAACATTTGTACACATTTTCATACGAGCTTAACATTCGTACAACATTTATCACGTACTGACCAACAGCCTTCTCACCAAGCACACACGCACTCATTTGCGCCTATCACACATCAAATACGGCCAACTTGTTGTCATTAGAAAAACTGCAGCTGTCACTAAAGCCAAAGGTTGTCCGAGCAAATGACCAAGTCCGATTTCAAGGCTGAAACCATAGATGAAACAGACTCTTCTCGCAGTCAGTAAATCACATGCAAGCGCGAGTATATGTTTTTAATATGCTCTCGCGTGCGATTTCCTGACTGCAGAAAGACTGTTTCAGCCCTAACTCTTATTCCATTGAGGTGAAGCAAATTGTTGCATCCAGGATGTCCAACGGAATCGCATGAGGAAAACGAGACCGCAAGTCACAAAACAGCTGCGAAATATTTTTGAACGATAATGCCACGGACAAAGATTCGGAAGACTGCGATATCCGGTTATTTGACCAAAGGGCCACAGTTTGAAAAAGGTGTAATCATCTGAATGGAGCATAAAGATGGAAACTAAGAAACGCTTAGATGTAGGGGCTGCCAATTCAGTACCCAAACTACTGGATAAGAAAAGATGGACGAGGTGGCGTGTGCCAAAACCGCACAAGATCGAATCAGAAAATATTGGCGGGAGAAGCTCGGGCGTTTTCGACAAGCTCACAATTCACAGCTAGTCCAAGGTTCATCAGATGATTCGTATCATACAGTTATGAACGCGGAAACAACCGTCGTCAGGTTTCGTGCTAGCGATGCACAAAAAAAAAATCGCAGTCGACAGTAGTTTACCAATGTAATAATCATGTCCAAAGGCGCAAAACTTGCACTAAATTTCCTACGCCACCGGCCTGGAAATAGATTTGGGCTAACACAGCGGCTGAGTACACCCAACACCTTGGACGGCATGGAAAGGCGAATAACAAGGCGCATCTAACAAACACCGGTTATAACACGCTGCCCATGTATGAACAACACCAGGCAGTGGTCTAATTGAACTACGGTAGCCGGTCACCATTCGATGGCACCTAAACAGCCGGCGTGCCGCGGTGAACTGAGCTTCACAAGCGGGATATTGAGCGATACCAACACCTAGAAAACGGGCTTCCAAAAAATGACACCGTAAGGTCGATCGCGGGGTTCAATTTCCCGCTACCACGTGTGCTATATATCATCTTTCACCAATAAAACAGCTAACGTGCGGCCAACAACAGCACGATCGGTTATTGCGGCCGAATTGACGCCACTAGCGCCATTTGGGGTCAAAGCTCAGCGCCCTCTGCTCTCCCTTTCTAACGGCAGGCCTAAAACTCAGACTCCGACGGAATCCAGACACTTCACAGTCAAATCAGAGCTACTTTCCATCAGCCAGTGGTGGAAACTGGAAGGCGAAGCTTGGATTAAAGCCGCATCTGGCCCGAGCATATCTTTTTATGCAGCTCCTTATCGAGAGGGATGTATGAGCCTTTGCGAGCATCGAAATAGAACAGATCGTCTTTGACCACTTCGATGTTGAAGCCCTCCTTTTGTAGCTCCACTTTCTTGAATTTGTACGTACCTGAAATGAATGGAGAACATTTCAGTTACACTAAAACGGATAGGATGTATATGTACGCAAGTAGAGCCCTAACGACGGTATATCGTTCCATCACCCTTCTACCTTCCTCAGGACCAGCTCATCCGCATCCTCACTTCTCAGGGCTGGCGGTCATCCCACCAGACACACGGTGGCAAAGGCAAGTCCATTATTATTACATCCCATTTATACTTCCATTATACTTCCCATTTATATCAAAGGCAAGTCCACATAGGACAACAAACACCCTCTCTTAGGTGACCGTTCGAGTGGCAGGGCGGTCTGTCCCATCGGGACAATCCCGTCCCACCCCGGAACGGTCTCTGCCGCTGCGGCGCACCGTCAGTGGTCATCATGTTCCAACTATAACACTCTGTCCTATATATCATCCCATAGCTCTGCAATGGCTTATTCAAGTCGGAAAGAGTTAACAAACGAAGATAATTTCAGTAATGACGTTAGTCTGTCCTTCCCCTTCCTCTCACCAGTCATGTCAAGGTGCTTCACTCTCCGGAGGAACAGTGGCTGGGCGTAGGCGGGCAGCGCGCGCTGGATGCCCTTGGCCAGATCGTTGAGGTCTAGGTGCCCGTCCGGGTCAGCCACAGCCGCCATACCGGCCCGACCCTCCACGCCCGGTACCTGGCGGGGTGCGCACAGTCAGAGGGAACAGGCGATACTAGATACAGAGCGAAAGTCGTGAAATTACTTTGCAGTAATGACTTGAAAGAGCGAGCTACCTTGGTTGTGAATACTAATTACTACTGCTCGGTAGGTATTGCAGGGTGTTTTCCTACAAAGGTTAATCGCATCAAAGGCACGGGGCATGACTGACTCCAACACAACATGCAAAGTGCAACAAGCCTGGCGAGTGGCGAATCAATAACTTAACTTATACCACTGCGTACCTTTTCGTTATGAATAAACCCAGTTATGCATTTAAATTTACTCTCCCCCCGTACAAAGCGAGCTCTCAAAGGAGAGACAACCCCACCCCACCCATACGCTCCCTCTACAAGCACCCACCTCGACGCCATAGACGGCTGCCATGGCGGTGCCGACGGTTTTCTGGATGACGCCCTCGACCTCTGTGGTGGAGACGTTCTCGCCCCTCCAGCGGAACGTGTCCCCGGTGCGGTCCTTGAAGTAGAAGTAGCCATCCTCGTCCGCCACCAGGATGTCGCCTGCGGGCGGAGGCAGAGGCGGAGGAAAAAGAGAGGGAGAGATGGAGGTTAGAAGGATGACAGAAATGAGTTGAGTGGCAGCCCCTCATTTTGTGAAACCCACGTCGACAGAAGAAACGACCGATTCAGCAAAGTGAGTTAACGTTTTACCACATAATAAAAATAGTATCACCGAAAAGTCGGAAACATCTATCCTTTCGAGAATAAACATCGATGATCGTACAGAAAAACAACTGACTACTTGAGCTTACCACTAAGCTTACGCACCCGGCAATCCCCGAAGCCAGCTGACCACTCAGCACACATTTTGGACGGACACTGTGCAGCTCCCCACGCTAGAGCTCACCGGATCGGAAGGCGCAGTCTCCTTTCCTGTCGACGTCGTGCACAATCTTCTTGGCGGTGGCCTTCTTGTCGGCGTATCCGTGGAAGTCCCGCACCGGGTTGTTGCGGATCATCATACCTACAAACTCACCCGGCTCATCTGTATGGAGAGAGGCGGGGTAAGAAGTCAGGTTAGAATTAAGGTGAGATGTGATGTTGCCGATGAGGCATGATACAAGATTGAATCAAAGGTCAGGTCAGAGGCAAACAAAGGTGGACGCTAAGGTTGAAGTACACATGAATTCAGACAGGTGAAGTTAAACAACCTGTGTTAGTCAAGAACATGGAAACACTGGTAAAAGAGATACAGACTGTCTGGTAAAGGGGACAGCGGCTGGGACACCGGGGACAGCGGCTGGGACACCTTCATTTGAACAGCAGCAGCAAGGGGACGGCTATCAAATTTTATTCTGATATTTACGTCGAGTCTGCAAAAAGTTACAGTGTAATTTTTGTTGGGCTTATCAAATTAACCGTGCAATAGCATGCCAGCCCATAATCACCATACCGAGTACGGAAATGGAAACGAGCCATGAGCGCGGCCAGTAACTTTCTGCCGTGTCATGCTCGACAACCATCACGGGATACTGCAATCGCGCTGCAGCGCACCGGCCCAATCAACATTGAATGCAACTGCAGCCCCACATTCGCTTACTGATCGCGCGTTTACACGGTGGCCAATAGTCGCAGGTCTCAACTCACCGGCTTTGCACTTGATGCAGAGGCCATTCTCGTCGCGCAGTGGCTCCCCCGTGTCTTCGTCCACCTTGATGAGTTTGCAGGGGTACACCCAGGGCACCAGCGGCGGCACGAAGCCCACGGCGCCCATCTTGCCCTCCATGTTCACTGGAAACACAACGATGCACTCAGGCCAGGTTAGAGTAGGGGCCCACTGCAAAACTCCCAATACTGCATGCATAATCCATACACTGCGCAGAAAAAAATGTTACAATCGCAAAGTAGGCATTTACAAGTAACATAAAATATAACAATAAGGACAGTGCATCATTGGCTGCTTCATGGTACAACTGAAAGTTCACCCATGATAACGATTTGCGCTAATGATAACGATAAATGCTGATTCAATACGCATTGACGATGGCACCAGAGACCATACACCTACTCAAACCGGCCACCTTTCTGTTAAACACAGCCACTGTCACCATCACGCAGCGAACCGATCAACTTATGGCCCATTAGCCAGCCGGAGCCGTTTAGATCCGTCACTAACCGATGTTGGCGTTGCCCTCTGTGGAGCCGTAAAACTCGCAGATTTTGGGGATGTTGAACCGTTTCTGGAACTGCTCCCAGATCTGGGGCCGCAGCCCGTTACCGAACATCATACGGATCTGTGATGGAAGAGGGCGTCGGGTTAGCGTGCGGTCACCTACTGGTGTCAAAACTGCAGCAGTGCACAGGCTACGTCGAACATACGAGCATACGAGTACACTTATCTAGGTTTAAATATAGAATCAAAACGTCTACGTGTTACAGCAGAGCTGGACCAATCGGGAAAGTCGGATGATCCAAAAGTCCACCAATATGGAAACAAGCGGTGATTACGGTTAACGATAACTTCGTATCACACGAACGCCTAAGCGCGCCGACCAGTGGATATAACAAAGCCTGTCTTCTCCGCTGAGCACGGAGCCAGGGGAGATCTGACCTGGTGCTGCTTGTCGTGCGGCTGCTCCGGCTGGTTCAGCAGGTAGCGACACGTCTCACCAATGTACTGGGCCACCTGAAAGGTCAGACAAGGCTACAGTGCGCTGCAAGGAGCACATGGCGGTTTCGGGGGACCTGGAAAGGGTCAGACGAGTTTACAGTAAAATGAACGGGGCAGAGGACAGCTATGGGCGACATGGGACAGGTCACACTCTGGGTCACACCGTCCCCCAGTGCATTTCACGGAGCACACAGCGACTTTGGGCGACACTTAGGTAGCCTACAGTGAACTGTAAGGTGGCACAGGACGGCTAATGGGTGACGTGGGGACAGGCGTTAGGACATCACTGCAGTCAGTCTTCACGCAAAGTGTTCACACCTAATAACATCACCCAAGGAGAGATCACACATGTAACACTCGGCACAGGACAGACAGCATCGCCTAGATCTTATCTGAATAGTGTGCAACTCGAAGGGGGGGGGAGGTAGAAGCGAACAAAAACATAACCAATGTGTGTAGCACCGTCGATATGTGATGAGGTAATAATGACTTAAGCACTGTGTATTGCGTAACTAGTTATTGTAGGTCTGCAATTGCATCTGCGACCACACTCGTCTTGCTAGTATTGCGCATATCAACAAAACAAGCCACTGAACATGGTATCGCTTAAAAATAGAAGCTCCACAAAAATCGAATGAAGAAACCAGGTGCAACTCATTAGATAAGAAAATAATGTAATAAGGAATGATTTACGAAATGTGACCGCCCTGAGCATGTTGACAGGTTCGTTAGAGCTTACATAAGTTACAAGTAAATGCGAATGAGGTGTTGGGATGTTTTCGCCGGCCGTTTGACGACCCGAATTCGGAGTCGGTTTTGAGGACGTATGTCGTAATCGCAATGCTGAAGGACGCAGTTTCAATCCACAACTATCCACATAATCCAACACCTGCAGATGCGAAGGCCAGTCTGCCTCAGTAACTTCTAAAATAATATCCCGTTATCCACCAAAAGGCAGTAGACGTAATGGGATGTTACGCCATTTCTCTGAACTGTTGGCACTATAGGACTATATGACACAGATTCACGCCATAGCCTCAATAGCGGGTATTTTAGGTTCAAACCTTGGCCGCAGTATCAGCGAAAAATAGTGAGACCTGTCCTATAAACGACATTTTCGTAGTAGTTGCAATGTGCTTAATCCGTGTTGTCCACCGTTGGAAAAACGAGCGATTCTGCTGGCCTGATTGCAGTCTGCAACTGCAGGCTGAAGAAGGTCGTCCGGTGTGCATTGCAACCCTGGGAGTTCAGAAACACCGGGGCCGGCTCAACAAGCCTAGGTCACTGATTTTGTAATCTTAGCCCAGTAAATGCCACGGTTGGTGAAATATGGCGACCACTTCAGTATTGTTGCAGTAGCTACTAGCTACATTTCAGAATCGAGACGGTTATTGAAAAATAAACAATATTAAATGAAGAGGACTTCGGGAGTTTTCAAATAATTGATGCTCGCCCGACCATCTTAATTACTCAAAGCAGGGTGAGCAGCTTTAACGTTTATGAACTTCATTGGATAACGTTCAACTTACTTGACTTTGCCCGTGAACGTCTTTTTACAGTAGGTATCTCACTTGTAAAGAAGGGATTCGGTTAGACCAACCAGCCGTTCGGCCCCTAATTGAGCTGGAGCTTCGCGAAAAAAGCGAGTTGCTCGTGAGAGACAGAAGCGAGGCATGAACGCTCCGCCCTCACTAATCCCGACCCGTAAAAACCGTGCTCAATATTTCATCATCGCTAATCACCTAATGATCCCACAGTCTCAAGGGTTTGTGATTTTTACGCCGTACGTCGAATCAAAGGTCTGGGAACTAACGCTGACAAACGTTTGATATTCATAGCTCGGCATAAGTGAGCGATTAAAATAGCTTGCAATATGAACTGTTGTTATAGACTTATTAGACACTAATGACAACTAGCTTCAGATTAAGGCAAAAACAAGCATGCAAACAGAACAAATTTGTTTTTTTTTTTGACAGAAAAAAAAAAACAGAACAAATTTGTGGTTACCTTGAATCCTAGATAAATCAAAGGTGTTATTTCGAGAGGTCACGTCTTTGTGATCGACATAACAGCTAAGCAGTCTCGATAATTGTTTGGCCCCTTGCCTAGAACGCGCTGCACCACCTAAGCCAATCACAATTATATCTTTGCTGACCAAGCAGTAATACAACTGACACCCAATCGCTTCTTATCTGAGCCCGCTTATGCATAGAACGACTTCTTGTGATTAGTCATTAGTGAAAGACTGAATCGTGCCAGTGGCTTCAGGTGCAGTTTCGCCGCGATTTACTAACTATGTAGACCGATAATTCTTCCATTTACACAATGAATTAGAAACGTACATCGCTAATTGAGCCATACCTCCTGGACAATGAGTAGCACTGCTACACACGAGCCTGCGTGGTCGTATCTTGACCTACTCCCTTCGTGGAATGGGAGAGTGGCGCTTTGGTAACCAGATGAGCTATAATGCATAGAGACAATGCTACTGCAGTGATGCAGGTATGAAGGTAAGTGTAAGGTATGATGGATGTCTTTGGTGTAGAAGTATCCATCGGGCAGCCCGACCATCAAATAGCACTAGTTTGCCTAACGTGACGACGGTTGGAGGATATAACGCACACCACACACTATAGGTACTGAGAGACAAGCACTTCATTCACAAATGAAAGTTTACACAAAACCTGAAAACATCGCGGAAACTCGCATTCAGATCAACTAAACATGCAATCAGGCCCTTGCATTTGACAGCATTTACATAACAGGCATGGCTATGTGCAGAAACATACGATTCCCATGTGTGCAAACCTTATGCAGTATACAGTGGAAGAAGTGACGGGTCTAGGGAGCACATGAAAAGGTGGCAGGTAGAACCGCGACTGATGCATTCGTGCACGGATACTCGGGTCAAAATCATTAGCATACGCATCGAGGCATATCACGGACGTTTATTTATACGTCCGTGAGGCATAGCATATGCATAGATAGAAAGTGCAAGAACGTAGTGCCAGACCCTTTTTTTTTGCATCAGCCTGGTTCCATCCACCGATGAAACGGAAGATATTTGACAATATCTGATTCATTCAAACAGGGATAAAAGGCAATATGTACAGTGAAGTGTGCATTGTGCAATACTTGGAGAGGCATGCCATCGATGTGTCATAACGTTGTTAGTTCCCATACACTTCCCTAATCGTATATTGACATTGCTACTCCCCAGTTCCAGGGGTACGCTCTTGAGGAGACGATTGAATGGTGGTAGGAGAATGAATTTACAGTACACCACTCCCTCTCCTCCTAGGAGCGTACCCCGTCTGCCCCGCAGGTGCCCCGCAGGGATCCCCGGTGAGGAGTGGGATCAGGGCGTACCCCGGCTGCCCCGCAGAGACCCCCGGTGAGTAGGAACCAGAGCGTACCGTGCAGCCGTGCTCAGATACGTCCCTCCAGTAACCGGAGGCGGTGAAGCGGCGGCGCGTCACCACGCTCGCGCCGTGCGTCAGCATGATGCCCACGCCCAGCATGCCGCCGGCCGAGTGGTACAGTGGCAGCGGGTCGTAGATGACGTCCGTCACGCGTACGGCGAACATGTGCACGATACCGGCCGTGAAGAACACGAACCTGCGGCACCGAGCGGCCGCCGAGCCGGGTTAGTGGGCGCGCCGCCACCGGGCCCGCGGGCCGCTACAGCATGCCTGCCGCCGGCGCCGGCGGGCGGCGCGGTGCAGTGCGGCGCTCCTGCCGCTACCACAGCGGCGTCTTACCGTGCACTGGTACTGGACGCAGTCGGCCCAGAAGCGGCTCACGGAGAACTTGCGCCGCTGCACGACGGTGGCGCCGTGCAGCAGCGCGCAGCCGGTGCCCATGCAGCCGCCGGACGTGTGGTACTGCGGCAGCGGTGAGTACAGCACATCCGACTGCTGCCACCCCATCGAGTGGTACGTGCCGATGGCCATGAACAGGTAGCTGGGGCAGAGGCGGACGGCTCAAAGACCCGGCAGGCGCGGTGCGGCCCGGCACAGGGGGCGCGCAGGAGGCGCCCAAGAGGTGCAGACGCTCGATGAGATCGAGCTCCCCATCGGGTTAATTTTGTGTTTAGGTTGAATCTTAACTACAGGGATGATAGGCGACGATCTACGAAATAAAATGACGGTAAAATCAACGCCAAACAAACACAGCAAGCAAACAGACGTAAGTTAAATAACAAGGAAAAGAAAATGGTATGAAATTAAGTCATTCACACATTATCATTTAACCAAGTCGCACACGAAGGCCAAATGCAGTATGCAATCTGGTGAAGTCAAATTGGATTGAAAGCAACCATGCAGAACACGTTTTGGCTGCCTACACTCGGGTAGCCCCGTATAGCTGATGTCTAACGACAGTTTGCATTGGATTCATGCTAATTTTGGTCTCTAGTGGCTTTATGTGGTCTGATGACTAGGTACTTCTTTCACTTTTGCTTATGTTCGAGGAAGCCCCACCACATTCTATCAGTAGCAGTGGTCAACAGAAACGAAATAAAATGAACTCTGGACGTGCTCACGCAAACAAACGAGCATGTCCTGAGCAGTGCGCAGCAGAACTGTTCAGCAACTGCGACATTTATCTACCAGAAAATACCATCAAATCTGGTGTTATCGGCATTCATTCATTTCAGCTACCAGTGATCGAATGTGAACTTCGGACGATATCGTATCTTTATTTGGCAAGCCCGTACCTAGGATGTGTATTGTGTATCGTAACTTAGCACTATCCATCAGTTTAAATAAACCAAGTGAGAGCTCTGGCGTAAAGATCCGGTACGGCATCAGACATAAATGTTATCAGTAAAACAGAAACGCCGCGAAACGTGTTTTGTGAAACAAAAATATTCTTGTGACGACCCTGAACGTGCCCTGTGGCCTAAACTTAAATGAAATATCATATCTTTTCACGTCCCTCTCCGAGCCTTACACTAATAAACTTGTATGCTGTTCACTTTACATTCCTTCCACGTACGTACACGCCGAAGGACTTCTCAGCACGTATCTGAAAGTATATCTCACGGCCAGTAACGGCATGGCGATACATCTTCGATGATCCATGATGGGTCCCGCTAGGGCTTGTGGACCGGGATACGCCCAAAGACGTTCCCCAACCATAGCGGGCCCCAGGGAATCTGCAGGGTCATACCAGATGCCACCCTTCCCCTCCCCTGTGAAAAGAGCGGGCCCCAGAGGCCGCGCAGGGTCCCACCAGAGGTCGAGCTGGCCAATGTTTACACTGGGAGTGTCGAGTGTCGAATGATGACGCTGCAGCCCACACAGGATTTCGGTGTCCGATCTGTAGTTGGACACTGGAGGGGTCAGGGTCTGTTGGCGATGAGGATTAACGGAATGGCTGAATTAGTGACTTATTCCCTATTCCACTTTTACCCATTTTTGCAGTGCTAATTAGTAATTGCTGAATATCGACAAGCTTTTTAGTACCAATGCCATGTAGCGCATTCAATCTGCATTACGTGAAAAATTCAGCAACTCTGCATAACTGTTATGCATTATCATTATCTGCAAGCTCGAGAATGAAAAAAACTGGCTTCAGCTGAATAAGGTTAAGGCCAGCATTCAGCAAGATTCAGAAGATGTGTTTCAATAAGATCCATCATCGTAAAAATGTATTACATCCTGGCATATGACCAAGGACAACTCCTTTTGGTGAGAAAAGAACGTTTGTGACGTATGTGCAAAAATCCCCTATGTTTTAACCTTCCAGGCGGTGGGGGGGGGGGCAATTTTTTGCCCCCCCCCTTTAGTTTTTTCAATATATCTCGAGAACCGCTGCGCCGATCGTCACCAAACTTTCAGTACCCTCCCGGGAGCAGCTAGCGCACATGGTGACCAAAAATTTTTCCAAAGGCTATGATAGGTTGGCCGCTAATGACGTCAGAGTGACGTCATTTTTGCCATTTTCGACCCAAAAAAAGGTTTCGCGGGAAGAGCTGTCAGGCCTACAGCTTTAGAGATACAGAAAAATGTTTCAGACATAAAAGGTGTAAAATTAAAAGGGCTACAAAACTGCTATTTCGGTTTTTCAAATTTTTTGGATTTTGACCCCCAAAAATCAAAAAATAGATTTTTTGAATATAATAGCCAAAAATTCCAAAAAGTTTTTTGAATTTCGAAAAAACCGGAATATATGTGATAGCCCCTACCGCCTTCTATCTACATACCAAATTTGAGATCGATACCTCTTTTTTTGGCGAAGTTATAGCGAAAAAACTGTTCAAAATTGATGACGTCAAATTTTCAAACTCAATTTTTAGCAATTCTAGACCTCGTAGCGCAAAAAAAAGACCACCATTAGACTCCCCGTGACGAGCTGCATCGAATCGATACCCATTTTATGCATAAATATCAACTTTGAAATTTGACCTTTTTTGACCTGACCTTGACCTGACCTCCACCAGAAAGTGACCCAAACCGTACCTGATGGTCTTATAACCAACACCATTGAGTTGGAAATGAAAAACTGGCCATAAAACATGCATCGCATAACCTTAGTTAAGTTGGGCTCATGTGGTGACCCTTGGTGACCTTTGGTGACCTGACCTGTGACCTGACCTGGTATGACCAGTGACCTCTAATAGCAACATATGTACTAGACAACTGACGCCTTATCGCTGATTTTCGACAAAATGCGTTTTACTCGGTGTTATAACGCTTTCCCTAGAAGCCCCGTGAACGGTGAAACATTTTATCTTTGACCTGACCTGTGACGTCATCGGTGACCCCGAGGTCAATGAAATTTGGTTTCCCTCAACAAATTTGACAGGGCTATCGAACGCCGTTTGAATTTTCCGGATCCGTCCAGTAGTTTCGGAGATACGGGGGGGGGGCAAAAAAGTGCCCCCCCCCCGCGCGGAAGGTGGCTGGTAGGCCCACCGCCTGCCGGGTTAATGACCAATTATTTCTGAAGCTAAGATGTGCAGCCCGTTATAGCGATCCACTGCAGATAAAAATAAAACTGAAACTTCCTGTTCCTATAAAGCTGAGACATACTCAGGGTCACGTGTCATACTCCTAAGAGAGCGAGGAGATAAAACGTGCTGTCTTCTACAGATTATTTAGACAAAATGTCACCCTTCTTCTAATTACGAATACACTAGGCGGATTCATAAACAGCGCATTGCGCTTGCAATGCTTGACATTGTTTTAAATCAACTAAAAAATATATCAAAACAGTAATGCGATTACAAAATTCGAATAGCTATGCATTTAAAGAAGCGAAATAAAAATTATCAACCTACGCTTATTTATAACGTAAAATTAATTTTACAATTGTTTTGTGTAACATCTCAACGCCTAAAATAATATGTCGTCATCACGAATCCCGCGCACTGCGTCACGCCGTCGAGATCCGTGTCTGTCGGCTAAAAATGCGTCACCGCCCACCGGGCCGGTTCAACCTGTTTGGACCAATCAGTCGTCACCCCCCCCCCCCCCCGACCCCTGACCCCTGACCCGGCGCTCACCGCGAGTGTTTGATGATGGCCGCCTTGGGCAGTCCGGTGGTGCCCGACGTGTAGATGTACAGCAGCTTGTCGGCGTAGTTGAGCTTCTCCAGCAGTGTAGGCGGCGAGTGGGGTGCCTCCGACACCAGGGTGTCCAGGTTCACCGAGCCTGCGACCGAACAGGAATATGTTCATCCCTAAGTCAGAAAAAAACAGATGGAGAATGAACACACAAATGCGTTCACCCACTGATCGGCATCATTTATAATTGCTGGTTCTTCAAAAATAGACACGTCACTAAGCCAGCTTCCCATATCGGTAGACCTTTCCCCGTGACTGGCCACGCGCTCGACAACCCGTTTGTTATTTGGCCCATCAGCGGCAGCAGGCGCTTCGGTCACCGCACACGCCCCTAAACAAGTGGCTACAGCGGCGGAGAACGCCGCCCAGCAGTAGCAGAAGCCCTGGACGGGTCAAAGTCCGGCTGGAGGGTTGCAGAGGTGCCTGGTAACGCGAGTAAACAGATCTGCCGGACCCCGCCGGCAGCAGGAATGCCTACATCATTCACGTGCCAGACGCCGACCGTACAGCTTCTTCGAGCTGAATGTAATTGAAACGCCAGCGCGGTGCGATCAATTTTACACGCAGGTGATGATTATAAATTCATAAGTCAGCCAACTTACGCGGCATAGTTCATTACAGTTTCTACTGACATGTTTGATCGTCTCTAGAAGTTTCGGAGTGAGTTTGATGATGATGAATTGGGGTTTTTGGGCGCCCGGACTACAGTGGTCATCGGCGCCCAGAGTGAGTTTACTCTTCTGTTGCACTTTTTTCACATTGAGATCACCAAATGAATTTACTTTGTTCGCTTTCGCCATGCTCCTGCACCACTTTAAGTGGCAGGTTTCGACATCCAACGAGTGGTAACCAGCCCGTGTCAGGCCATGCAACTAAGGCACGGGACTAACCAGTTGTCTTAGGGCGGTGACTGTACCAAGTCAGATGTCGGTGATACTGCGCGCATGAGAACAAGTTTTTGTCATTATACGTAGCAGACGCTGGCTTGACGAGAAAGTAGCTGGAACGGTCTGGGGATGAAGAAAAACGGCTACCGCACAACTGCCAAGTAGCGGCTGCGCCTCGCCTGATTAAGTAGGATAATGCTACTAGTATCGTGCCGTAACGGAGCTTAGCTTTAGGAAAATGAAAGGATGAAATGTTCACTAAATTCAGCCTGGAGGGTAACATAATGAAGTAAAGTCACACGCGACGGTTCCTGGTGCTTGGCGATAAATGATACACGCCGTACTTTCCACTTAGTGGAAAAGTTGCTTGATACAATGAGAACCAAGTGTAACCGACGCCAAATTACCGCACCCCTTTATTTCACTGAAACGCTCAAAAGGCAATATTAAATCATAATCGCATTTGACTAGTTACATTTAATTCTAGAGCCTTCAAGCACCATAAAATACAAGCATGTAAGGAGGAATGAAAACATTTATAGTGCCTATGTTTATAAGGAAGTAGGAACAACTATGTAGACCTGCAAAGTCTCCACATGTAATCGGATCACGAAACTGCTGTGTTATATAACTCTTCTCGAATCTCCGTCGAGATGCTGGATCAGCCAATTGTGCAATAGCTCAAGGCATCAAACATTGCAGGATATGGTTATGATCATGACTGCATTTTGATATAGGTACATTTCGAAGGAAAACATTGGATCGTATATGTAAAGGTATACTTCATAAGTTACCACAACACGTGAATAACGGTTCATCTTAACGGCACGTTACCCATGCGCGTATTTGACCGTGAGGCACACCTACAAACCAGACCTAACTCCGCCCATAGACCCCGCCCCCGCCCCATCCCATTAAGCGCCCATACGCGGGTGTCGGGACCAGTTGAGGAGTCAATCACCGCTAAATAGCGCCGTCATCAGCGGGCGATAGGGACTAATATCGCTACTAGCGACAGCCATCCGCACACGTGTCCACTGTCCAGCGCAACCACCTGTGTCATGAACGGTGGGACGAGAAACACAGGTCCTAATGCCTCCAGCTATTTAAATTAGCCGTGGCGGAAGTCCACCGAAATCGCCTACCTTGTCTTCATTAGTCGTAAAACGCTACACTGAAATCAATGCTTTCATGTGAATACAATTCAAAAAAGCAATGAATTACCCTAGCTTCGAAATAACCGTTGGAATGAACCGCAAGCAGTCAACAGACCAGCGCCCTCCCCACGGCAGTGTGCGCGGGGCGAGATTGCATCCGTCACCCCCGGCGACCGATTGCGCAACAAGCGCGTCTTGCACGGGCCAACCAGCCACGTGGGTGCCGATAAAAGACTCGCGTCGGACGCGCCAGCCTCTTAACCCTCGCCCTGGCAGGGCATTTTTCATAACACGGCCTGGCAGGGGGGGGGGGTGGTCGATGCGACCCCCCCCTCGCGATTGGCTCCTATGGCACTTAGAAACACCAAATTTGGTAGGTAGGTGGGCCCCCTGGAGTTCTCGCCCCTGTGCAAAATTGGTTGCTCTAGGTCAATATTTAGGGGGGTTTTGGGGGGTATAAATGTAAAAATTTCGCTAAAAACAGGTCAAATGTTTTTCGCTTATAACTTTTGATCTAATTAAGATAGAGCAAAAAGAAAAGCACCAGTGAACTCAGCACGTCAAGGCGCGTCGAATGATATACTTTTTAGCTTGCTTAAGTGTACTTAAAGTTTTTTCTTAAATTTTAAGTAAACTTAAATTAATAAATTAAGTTCAAGTTAACCAAATTGCATCATATCGCATATCATTCGATTCGGCTGATCACCAGGAACACAATGATACCATTTTTTAAGCTCTGGCGTCATTATGTGCCAAGTTATTGGCAAAAACGTCATTTGACCTCAGTTGACCTCATTTGACCTGACCCATGGATAAGTACACCAAACAAAGAAGCACCAAGTGACCTGCTGTTAGGTACTGTGGTTTCAAAGCACAAAAGTGATAGAACGAAGCGGATATCTCCAGTATTTACCGAATTTAGTATTTTCCCATAGGCTTAACATTACGACGTAATGACCTCTAACTGACCTAAGGTCAGTGACCTCAAAAAACCCGAACTATATGTTATACAACTCGGTGAACTTAGCACATCCTGAAAGTTTGAAGGAAATCAGTCCAAAACTGTGAGTTGGACAGGTGCAAAAAGAAAATTGAAATTTGACCATGACCTTGTACCGGTTTTTCTGACCTGGTGACCTGACCCAAGGTCACCCGGACCTGAAATTTTAAGGTCATATGTAAAATGCCCCATAGGCTGTACCAAATTTGGCGGCGCGCAAAATCTTCGAAAAACTTTAGGGGGGGTCGCATCGACCCCCCCCCCCCTGCCAGGGCGAGGGTTAACAGATATCACACCCTCTTCCGATTGGGATGGTGTTATTATGGTGGGATAGAGTATGGAGTCACGGGTGTTTCCTAGGTGATTGATAAAATAATGATTCAAAGACTACTTCTTATCTGGCTAGCGACATCTGAAAACAGCATTGCACTTCTTGACGTAACATGAAACACCGTACTTCAAACGGGTGGGCTAAGAGCGCTCAGCAGCAATCGCTTCAAAGGATTCGACCTCTAATACGATAACCAAACCAAACTAGACGAATCCAGTATATGACGTCAACGAAACTTGAGCAAGCATTAAGTTCTGTGAGCTGTGAGATAGCGTAACCTGAGAAAATGTTGGGCGAGAGCCAGGTTCGCCCCATTCATCTTTTCTGACGCTCTTGACTCAGAACTTCACAGCATACCATCAAAATCTATTGACTATCCACTACAAATTCTGGCAATAGTATGTCAGTAGGGGAGGCGCATCATGGACATTGGACATCAACTGAATTGGTGGCGTCACAAAAAAATATGATAAATAATTAAAATGTCATTGATGAGATATTACGTTGGGAACTTTAATAAATCGCTCCACCAATGAAGCCCACACGCAAGTTGGTTTTGTTGTAAACAGCATTCAACAACATTTGTGAGTTTGAGTTACATTTGACTTATCCTAAAGGCCATCGAAATTACACGAAATTTTCGCACCGCATGAAGAAGAGACTCATATGACAGTGACCCTACACGAAAAAAATAATCCCAGCAATGTTCGACGCAATGGTATTGCAGATCACATAATTTCGTGGCGCTTCCCAAGAACCACGTAAAACCTAAATTTATCTTCACACAAAATAAAAATGGAAAATGCCGTCGTTATGAAGAGGAGACAAACTAGCAACATTCGGAAAAACCAAGATGACATCATAACTGGTTTTCTTGGGGCACGTCTCTGGCTGCAGTTTTAAACTGGTATAAATGTTCCAGATGCAAAACTGGAAACTAAATTGACATTATATAATGTACACAAATTTTAAATCTACAGAAAACGAGTCTGCTCATTTGAGGAAGATCTCTCATTGACATTGACGTTCCGTTCGGTCCACCCCGCGGAGACCGGCTTCACTGTTACAAGGTCAGAGGACCGGTTATACCCGGCGGATGAGCGCCCAGCGTGCGAGAGGAGCGGATCAACGTGCATGAACAATGAACATGACGGACAGACGGCACATACCTTTAACGAGCAATGCGTCATCCTCCTTCGAGCCAGTGCAGTAGAGTGGAAAACCTTCACCCAGTTTATCGGAGATGTCCGCGACAGCTGAAAACCGACGGCAGACACCCAGTTTTACATATGTTTAATGTGTTAGGCGAGATACCAGACGAGACATCCCGGGGAGTTGTCAAGAACTGACGGATGAGACAAAGGAGACGGAATAACATTGTAATTTCCGACAACTGAAAATGGCTCGGACAGCGCATTACATGTTTATATGAAATGCATTTAATGCAAAGTTGTGTCCAAGCTGAATGACTCAAGCGAAAAACACGATTTAATATAAGAAAACACAAAATTCCAACACTTATCGCCTTACATAACATCTAATCTTGGGGGCACATGATACAAATCCCCGAGACATATCCTTGTCGCGTCATATCCCAGAACCAAAGCAGATCCCATTATTTACGCCACCCAACCCTGTCCTGTTGATCACGACGGCAGACAATCCGACCGGACAGTCTCATCTACTAAACCGACCCTCTCCCCACAATTCTTGTTCCCTCCACACCCTTTCCGTCAACAATCGTGTTGGAATAATCACCCTTCACATATCTCACCCCACCTATCATTGATCATCTCTTATCTCCAACAACCCCTCGTTTTCCACCCTCCTCGCCCCCTCGATGACCCCCATTCCTCGCATCCCTTGTTTCCCCCACACCCTTCCCCTTTCGATTCCCCTCACCCTCCATCCTCACCGTTGCTCAGCTCGGCGCCATAGATGAGCGCCTTGCAGCCGGCCACCTGTATGCAGTGCACCAGGGGCGTCTCCTTCAGGTTGTAGTTGATGAGTGCCGGCACGACGCCAACCTTGGCCAGACCGAGCCAGGTGCCGACAAACTCGGGTCGGTTCTCGAGGAACAGTGCCACGGCGTCGCCCTTCTTCAGACCGCGGGCCAGGAACACGTTTCCGATCCGGTTGCTGAACTCGTCCAACTGAAAACGGAGAGAGGGAGAAGTTACGAGGAGAAGAAGAGCAAAGTGCGAATGTCGGTTGGTTGCTGTTTTCTATCCAAAAATTAGATAAACACGGCGCCTGCACAAACAGGTACGGAGGACCGAGGATGATATAAATTTAGTGCTTATGTTTATAGGAAATGAGAGGCGTGGAGAAGAACATCACGAAGCTACAAAATTTGGGCGTAAATGTGTACGCCTTGCTGAAGCTTCATCAGCTTATCGGACACGGGACAACAAACCGTTGATGGAGCCAGGGTCAGGGTAAACATCAACTGCGAATTGCACAGTTGTGAGATGTTATGGAGAATGAGAGGACGACCACCCCATATGGAATGATGTAGACAACTACTTTGTAGTCTGTAGGTAGTCTAGCAGAAGCATGCAGAATTGCTTGCATCCAATGATAGGCTATAAAATGAATGAATGAGTCTGAGCTTGCTTGAAATACAAGTTCAAAATGGGAACACTTTGATGTTGGTGCCTCTAAACGAGACTGGGAAGCTAGATCGCCTGGCACAGCCCTCTTCTGAATTCTACCAGTCGCCAGACATAAACAGATGACACAACCACTCATCGATGCCATCCTTTGCAGAGTTGGAGCGATGGCGCCAGGCATTCGACGGCCTTTGGCTTTACACCAGGAGACTGCAGTGAGGCCGGCAGGCAGCCGGAACGGCACAACGCCGCCACGAGAAGAGAGACTGAAGCGATGGTGAGATTTTAGCTCGTGACGAATGTTCCGCGTGCGGAGTCGTTGAGCTTTACTGGTGCTATTGAATCAAGTGTTAACACATTCCAGCCTTTTTTATGCATTCTTCTGTGGTGTTTACAAACGTAAGTCGTAAATAAATGTCAATCACATCCGCGGTATGCATAGGAAGTTCTATCAATCCAAGTGCAAACGGTATTCAATAACGTCCCACCCCAGCTGGCTAACACTTCACATGCCTCTGCTTAGCAAGAGCCAAGAGCGAACTTTCAGTAACGTAACGTTGTGCGGCGATGCCGTCCGGAAGGAGGCCGGAACCGTGCGGATATTCATGGCATGTGTGCCGGCCGTTACGGAAACTGGTAGTGGAGGGTACAATTCAAGGCTTTGTGGAATCGAACAGGAGCAATTGCGGTGCGATAGGAATGTAGCCTGGGAGCGTTACGTCTAATAAGCAGTAAATGCCTGGCATTGGGTCACTAATTCTGAATAATCAATGGTTTTGATGACGGGGAAAAATGGATATATCGGGCAGTGCGGCCAAATTGGTGATGTTGCGGGGAAAGTCACCCCCAATGAAAAGTATAATGCCATCCTCAGAAATTTTAAAATTACATCATCACAACGTTTTTGTTGTGAAAGCATACCTAGTGTAGGAATAAAGACTAAAAATGTTCCAATGTACGATTCGCACCGTCATACTCATACTGTCGCGCTTGCAATGTTTTTTTTTTTACATCTTTGATGACAATATTTGATTTTTTTCTACTTTCCACCAGAGCTTGACGTCAGGTATAGTTTTTCCACATAACTTGTAAAAACTGCACCTAAAATGACACTGAAGACGAGTTTTTTGAAAATAGTGACATCCTCATACGACTTTTTTATACATCCTCCCCCTAATGCTAAACCAATTTGGCCACACTGATATCGGGATGGTTGCTTAGCGTTCTGACCGAGGCCACAACGCTGGGATTGTGACACATATAGTCCGTTTTTCTTATCTTTAGACTTCACTCCAAGATGTGCAGATAACTTAGCACGTGACGTCACACAATTTGATAATAAAAATCAAGCGTCACGCTCATTGCCACTGGCTCTAAAAGCGAACACACCATATGTCTGCTGTGTATCAAGGAAATCTGAGACTTTTATATATCTTTTGAAATTTATATCCATTCGTATACAATAATATGCAATGCTCTCAAAACTTCGGCAAGGAAAACCGATCGGTGCACAAGCGAGACAAGTGGTTTATAATGTTTACCAATATTTTATTCGAAAGAAAGATGAATACCTCAAGCAAGGTGATGAGAGTGCAGCGGCTAGCATTAACGTAGCGAAGGAGACCAGCTCTGCTACTGGAGTGTCGATTGCCTCTGTTAATGCATTCAAGAGTGGAATAGAGACACATGGATGCCAGTCTCCAGCCCGCCAGCGCCCTAACAGGGGGCCACGCGAGTACTTCGACGAGTTTGATCAGTGCGCGTTCAGAAGAATGGTGCATGCCATGTACCTGGAAGGGAAAAAGGTCACTTTGGACACCATTAGAGCGGCAGTTCAGGACAAGTTCGAGCAGACTATCTCGCGCTCAACCATACGAAAGCAGCTGTTCCAAATAGGATTCAAGTTCCGACAAGTGAACAACCGAAAGCTGCTGGTTGAAAAACCTCAGGTGGTGGCAGCCCGGAACGCGTTCCTGAGACGCATTCGGAAGATTAGAAGCTCCGACCCAGAGCGCACTATAGTGTACTTGGACGAGACCTGGTATAACCAGTTTGATATGCGAACGGTCGCGTGGTTGGACAGTGACGACGTGGCCGGCCATAAGCCAGTGACAGGGAAGGGCAAGCGCCTAATCATAGTCGATGCTGGCTCGGACAGCGGCTTCACCCCAGGAGCATTCATGTGTATGAGGACGGACGGCAAGTCTGCCGACTATCACACGTCTATGAACGCGAGCTGTTTCGAGGACTGGTTTCGACTCCAACTTCTGCCGAACCTGCCAGCGAATAGCGTGATCATTATGGATAACGCCTCGTATCATTCAAGATGTGCTAACAAGGCACCTACAGCTAGCTGGAAGAAGGAAGCGATCCAAGAATGGCTGCGGGTACATGATGTCAATCCTGATCCGGACTTGCGGAAGGTCGAGCTTCTTGAGCTGGTTCGCCCTCTGAAACAGACACGCGAGTATGTGTTGGACAAGGTGGCACAGGAGGCCGGTCATGAAGTACTGAGGTTGCCCCCATATCATTGCGACCTCAATCCGATTGAAATGGTTTGGGCAAACATGAAGACGCACGTCCGCCAGTTCAACAACACTGGGCATCTGAATGACGTGGAAAGGCTGCTGCTGGATAGCCGAGACGCCGCGCCACCGGACTTGTGGCGAAACTGCTGCCGCCACGTGCGAGAACTGGAAGAGGTGTACTGGCGAGCAGATGGAATGATGGAGGACATCGAGCCAGTGATCGTGTCACTTCAGGATTCGAGCAGTGACGACAGTGACAGTGAAAGTGATTGAGGGCGCATGGGACCTACGATGGCTTCGGTGAACCAAACATACCCAATATACGAGTACGACTCCTGTGTTTCCTGTCTTTTGTAATTTGTATTACGAGTTACTGGTGGTAGATTTGTAGACACTAGCGGGTAATACGAGCAAAACATGTCATCACATTGAAATAGTATGTATATTTGTTAATTTCGATCAATGCTGCATTCATCGCTAAACACACGCTCATATAGCCAACTCGTGTTGGTAGCCTGCGCCGCTGAACACGCATGTCCTGCGGGTTGCCTACCTCCACAGGCATAATTCATCTCCGCCTCTCGTCACGCAGTCTAACCCGTCCACATGATACTTCGTGAGGATTACAACGTCACAGTCAATACTATCGAAAACGCGTTCACTCGAATGTCTGCGATAGCGAACCACAAACCAAGTGCTTCACGACAGTCGCCAGAACTTGTTACGAGCCACACGCCGAGCTCCTTCAAGAATTTCCTTGCATTGGGTCCGCACTCGCAGTCGCACGCACCTGCGGTTTCAAAAAACTTCGGCTGGAACCAAGCCCTATAGGTCTTGAACTAAAGTCACTGATGATGACTTGTGTCCATTTGCAGAATAGTTCATTTCCAAGTGATATTCGCTTTTATAGGTACCCTTTAATTCATCGGATCGATAGTTCGGTTAGCATACCAAACTTTATCCAACTTAATTTTTGTAGCAGGTAGGTATAAGTACCTACCTATTTATGTAATACACATTTGTGAGACTACAAATCTGCACTTGCCGCACCCAAGAGCGCCACTCTCCAGGCTTCAAGGCAATATTTTCTGTTTCCGAAGGGCTTGATTTTTTCTAAGCCATGCTTTGTCTCGTGCATATCTTGCGAAACATCTTGGAGTGAAGTCTAAAGATAAGAAAAACGGACTATAATTGCAATTATCCTGACTAATAACGCAGAGTACCCACGCGAGCAATATCCCTATCATCTGCCACTTACTTCTGTAGCTGGGACTTCAATCGGTCAGCTACGTCACGCATTTCCCACCTCAGTTTGCCGAGTACCAGGTGACGCATGACGACACGCAGGTCAAGTGGCATTATTTTTATCGCTGTCTTTGGTTGATCCACTTTGATAACGGCCAGACACCCGTGAAACGCTGGTCACTAGATCTCAGAGATGCGCCCCAAAAACATCCGTGCGTCTGCACTGAAAGAAACTCCGATTAAAAAGGAACCGCCCTCAGTTTGTTTTTCAATAGAAAAACACAATTCTAAAGAATAGTGTTTGTCTAATAAAGAAACAATCTTTGGGTATAATTAAGTCTTCAAACTTGAAACATAATACATACTGTCATTGTCGTCTGTTTTGTCAGAGGATCTTTATAAAAGCATACTTAAACCATTCTGCGAACCTTTACAGCCATATAAGAGAGCTTAGGGTGTAGCAGAAGTGATAGTTTTCCAACAAAGTGCTATAAGCAAGCTATACAATGCGCTTACCTACTACATCGCACACGCGTGATTTCCATTCACACAGCGCTGAAAGAAAGCAATCCGCAAGCCCAGCCAAACACAAACAACTACATGAATCAAAGGCTCAATAAACTGCACGCCACCTGACGCATTACCAAACGAATGCTATTCATTTCCGCTGCCAACCCGTACCCTGAACAGAGTTCAATGTCGTTTGTGTGGTCGGCTCCAGGTTACGGAATATCATGGTGGTCATTATCGACGCCATGCCTCGGGGCTGAGGCCGCTCCCCTCCCTCCGGTATGATGCTTATGGTCGATACCTGAGCAACTCGATACCAACGAGTTCGATACAAATGGGTCTCTGGAGACGAGCCGTGCTACACAAACTGAGAGCTTACGAGGTGGGACCTCAGAATGAAGCGTTTTATAACCACGTCTACAGATCCGGGCCCGGGACTTCAGGGATAAGGGAAGGCCAAATTCAGAAAGAACACGTGAAAGACAAATGCTTGAAAATACAAGCATTATTTCCGAAAAATCGTACGATCCAAACTACCAAGGCGATGCCACTTTCCGATGATTTTTGGTAGAGCTGTAATGACAAATTCTAGAGCCAAAAGATTATTCCGAAGATGTATCTTCAAGTAACTAATAAAAGGTCGTCAAAATTACTGGTGCAGCTCGAGCGTAAGCTATATATAGCAACGCCCATGCTCACACATTTCTAAATGCCTAGACGCACCCAATCCGTCCCAAGCCACCCCATCCCACCTCCTCCCATTCCAAACACCTGTCGTCCCGCACCATTTCCACACATTCCACTACTCGAAGCTTCTCTAACCACTGGTTGGCCCAGCTATTGCAACACATCGGCTACGTCACACTCCCTTGACTGCGATACCGTCACCGCGGGTCTGCTGCAGCGGCGCGGGCTGCGGCGAGCGCCGACACCGTTCGCCAGGTCAGGGCGAGACGACCGAGTGCCCTCTGTGGACTGCAGTCGCCAGAGGCACGGGGTGCACGGGGCCACTCGGGCGACTGTGGGGCACGCCAGGTGGTGCAGAGGCCGGCCTGCATAGCTCCACGGCTCGGTGCGGTGACCCGGTGCGATGAAGGGATACGTCAGGACGCATGACCGATGAGGTGATTCATGTTATAATCGAAACCAGGGGCAAAATGGTCAAGGGAAGCGCATTGTTTCCGAGACGTAAGTTGGGACGACTGCCGAATGCCAATGTGCGTGATGACGCGATATCCACGACATGGCTGAACGTGATGGCAAGGCAGTGTGTAAGCATTGAGCAGTTGTAGTTCGCGCAAAGACAGGATTTCGGTGCCGCCTGACCGGCTACTCGGCGTGCTGGTGGATAAAAGAGAATACGAGGGCTTACGTAAGGAGGGATTACGAGAGACGTTTTGCGGGTTCAAGGACGTTACGCCCGAGCGACCTATTGGCTCCAAAACAGGTTATCTGAGGCGAGGCATTACTGGATTATCTGACGAGGCGCCATGCAGCATGGCGAGGCGAGGCCCACAAAATCGAACTACAGGCAAAAGGGAATTCGAGCAGAAAACGAACAGAAATATTGATGAGATCAAAGCAGAACTTACGAGACGAGCCTGGGAAAACGGCAATAGGAAAATAACGACCAGTTTCGAAAACAGCTATTATGCATGAAATTGTTCCACAGCCTACAATTACCCATCTAAGGCCTAAGGTAGGCCATCAGCACCTAGGTCCTAGAAGGACTGCAGTTTACAACGAAAAACCAGCTGTATCCAATCAACACAGCACCCCTGGCTTGCCGTCCATCTTCACACATAACTCGTGCAAATCTGCTACAGATCTCGGTGTGAGCCCCGCCTTAATCCGCAGCTCTGCTGACCGGAACACGCTATATGGATCCATTTAACCACAAGTGGGACGCTAGCTTGCGCCAATCCTGGCAGCCCCAGGAAGTGTAATGCAGACCGCAGGCAGCCGGCCGAACCAAATACATGAACGGTCAGCGGCATGGGAAAACCCACATGGCCGAGCTCCTAACGCAGTGAACAGCTCCCGTAAAACTGCTGAAACTACGTCAATGAATGTAGACAGGCTAACATCGATTCAGGCAGGTCAAAACATCGCTCACATAATGGAGTGAATTGTGGTGAATGGCATGGACCTCCGGGTGTCAAAACTAGTGACCAAACTTCTCAGAAATCGGCAATCGATGAGTATGGACAACAAAACTACAAGCTGGGGCAATCTTTTCGAATAAAAACATCTTAGAATAGTAGCTACCATTCTAGCCCTCTACCGTATGTGATCTCCCCTTATCCTCGCGCACGACCGTCCAAAACCTCCAGCTCCCTATCCCAGCCTTACTACACGGTACACATGCCCGGCATGCCCGTCCTATCGTGGCAAGAACAAACACATCGCCGCTGTACGGTGGTGCGTGTGCACATGGTGCAGATTGTGGGCACGGTGTCCCCGCCCCCGAGGGCACACGAATGGAGAGATTAGCGCGGACAGCTATGTGATTAGCACGGTCACCGAAGAAGTGATAAGTACAGTCCTAGCAGCGCTAAAAAAAAAAAAACATGCCATGGCCGGTAGCAGACATAAACGCCAAACACCAAAGTAGCGACGGCCACCGGTGTTGTGTTGAAGCACGGTTGTGGCACCTCCCCCCTATTTACTCCAGACGTAACATGGATTGGTAGACATTGAACATCAAGAGCCTCATGATGATCAATGAGTTCATTGCGTACTGAGTCACGCATTGCTTACAACAAAACAACCCAACGACCAGCGTTGCACGCTTTTGTCCGCAATCGACAAAATCGACTCAAACACAAAGCCTCCAAACATCACCATTCAGCCGACCACCTCCCACTCCCCCCCCCCCCCCCCATCACACACCGGAAGGTCGCCAGCCACCATGCCTCACACCACGGATGAATGCGTCGCCGCCCACGAAAGGCTCGCCCGTAGTGCCACGTCGCGCGACGCGGTCACCTGACCGGGCGAACGGACTTTCACTCGGCAGCGCGGCGCCGTGTCGCACCGGTGGAGGCTGAACCCGTATGGTGCGGGGTTCAAGTGGGACACGGGTGAGTAAGAAGAGGACGTATTGGACTCGACATGACGTCATGTGTATGACACAATCGGAAATCGAACGTGGTTCGAGGAAGGCGGATGGACGGCTACCATTCAAGATTTGCCGAGACAGATATCCACTACTTCAACTTGACAATTTGTATGCACGATTATGTTGGTAAAGGGGCGAGTAAGGAATAAAGGTCGTAAAAAGTCAGGTTCCATGGATCACGGATGTTGGGATAGGATCTAGGATGTTATCAACTAGCTAGGATCGAAGAACAAATGGCATCACTGGTCCAAAACACGCCCATTGGGAGTCAGTGACACGACCGCTGGGTGTCAAACGGCACTCTAGCAATTCAAGAAGCCAGGAAACGCTGTAGACTGACGGGACACACCCCCTCGACTCGACCAGTATACAGCGGCAGCGGTCGAAAGGTGACACCTATCTATTAGGGCGCACAGGGATGGTAAGGTGTGCTCATGTCAAACGGAACTGGAACAACCTACAAATAACCGGTTATCATCACCCGCGCTGGGTTGACAAGCCATCAATGGGTAATCACCTACCGTGCCTCAACGTTTCACTCCCGCCCGTAACAATTGATGACCTTAACCTTCCAGGCGGTGGGGGGGGCATTTTTGCCCCCCCCCCCTTTAGTTTTTTTTCGATATATCTCAAGAACCGCTGCGCCTATCGTCACCAAACTTTCAGTACCCTCCCGTGAATAGCTATTGCACATTGTGATTTGTGACCAAAAACTTTTCCAAAGGCTATGATAGGTTGGCCGCTAATGACGTCAGAGTGACTGTCATTTCTGCCATTTTCGACCCAAAAAAAGGTTTCGCGGGAAGAGCTGTCAGGCCTACAGCTTAAGAGAAACAGAAAAATGTTTCTCATAAAAGGTGTAGAATTAAAAGGGCTACAAAACTGCCATATCGGATTTATTTTTTTTAACCCCCAAAAATAAAAAATAGATTTTTTAACATAATTGCCGGGATATCCAAAAAGTTTTTTGAAATTCGGAAAAACCGGAATACCTATATGTGATAGTCCCAACCGCCTTCTATCTACATACCAAATTTGAGATCGATACCTCTTTTTTTTGGCCAAGTTATAGCGAAAGAACTGTTCAAAATTGATGACGTCAAATTTTCAAACTCAATTTTTAGCAATTCTAGACCTTGTAGCGCAAAACAAAGACCACTATTAGACTCCCCGTGACGAGCTGCATCGAATCAATACCCATTTTATGCAAAACTATCAACTTTGAAATTTGACCTTTTTGACCTGACCTTGACCTGACCTCCAGCAAAAAGTGACCTAAACCGTACCTGATGGTCTTATAACCAACACCATTGAGTTGGAAATGAAAAATTGGCCATAAAACATGCATAGCACAACCTTAATAAAGTTGGGTTCATGTGGTGACCCTTGGTGACCTGACCTGGTATGACCAGTGACCTCTAATAGCAACATATGTACTAGACAACTGACGCCCTATCGCTGATTTTCGACAAAATGCGTTTTACTCGGTGTTATAGCGCTTTCCCTAAAAGACCCGTGAACGGTGAAACATTTTATCTTTGACCTGACCTGTGACGTCATCGGTGACCCCGAGGTCAATGAAATTTGATTTTCCTCGACAAATTTGATAGGGCTATCGAACGCCGTTTGAATTTTCCGGATTCGTCCAGTAGTTTCAGTGATACGGGGGGGGCAAAAAAATGCCCCCCCCCCACCTTGCGGAAGGGGCCAGGAGGCCCACCACCTGCCGGGTTAAAGCAAATTAAAACACCTGTTAGATCGTCAGGTCATTAGGTCGTGACAGGAAATGAAATAGTTTGAATAATATCCACTTGCAAAAAAGTAAATATTTTTCGTAAAAAAAACTCGCCAAAGAAAAGGCTGCCTATGCCGGAGTGTCATTTCATAGGTTTCAGTTCAAGAACAGTAAATGTGTTGGAATAAAAAAGTACTGCCCGTTGCGTTATTCTTTCATTAGGGTGAAGTCGTATAAGAGTACGCACTTAGTGGATTTCTTGCTCTCATTTGTTTAATATTTGAAGGAAAGAAATCGCAAATAGGGAATATTAAAGTTCATTGAATTAGCCATCAACCCATGGGGCAACGATCCTTCAGCGTAAATGGAAGTGGTCTAAAACTGACATTTTCTGAACCGTTGCACTTGCGTACTCTTACCATATGGGGTGTGTAAGAGTACGCACGCCAGGCGGGTGGAGTACGCAAGCATATGAACACACACCTATGCAGCTTGCACTGTCCAAATGCTTAACTTCAAACTCAGAAGGCGTTTAAGTTAATTCTAGTATCCAAAAAGAAAGACATAAAATAAATCTTTCAAGTCTATAAATCAGGAAATAATCATGTCGTGTGTTTCTTAAAAAAAATGCACGATCAAAAAGGAGAATAACTCGTATTTGGAAGAATTTCGGGTACGCATCTGCATCACAGTGCTCCATTGATGATATACCTACAAAACAAACGTCATTGAGCGAAAGATTAATAATTCTATATTTCTGTATATTCGATTTAATGTATAATTCTGCGTACTCTTACCCTCCTGAACAGTGCGTCCTCTTACCGTACATGCAATTCGCGCACAAAACAACCCCGAAACGTTGTGCAAAACTTCGCAAACAGAATATTGCACTGTACAGTATTTCCCCAGATAACCTCACAAGTTTCCCACAACAATCACGGAAATGTACCTTATCTCAACTGCCAAGTATCAACATTATTGTACCATATCATAATAATATCATAACGCTCGAAAATAATATTCATCGCCTTAAACTCAACAGCGTCGCCGCTCAACGCCCACGTTCCGTTGGTGACATGCACGTACTGGCGGCTTCATGTCACTTCATGAACTCGACAAACCCGCGTTGCTAAGCAACCGAAACAGCTGATGCGTACTCTTATCGCCCGCGTACTCTTACCCGCCCTTACCCTAGACATATTCGATAGGAGAGTCAAATAGAAGAATTATCTAGAAACACACGCATTACGCATAGCTGATGTATTTTCGCTCGAAAGGTTGTACTAAACTGCCATGCTAGGTAGGATGCAGAACGTTCACGCGACTAACAGCCGGTCGGTAACGTGCATTTAGCATTGACCAGGTACCACTTTAATATTGTCCACAGCTACCACAGTCACTTGGCCGGCCGCCGTCTTGGGAACGCTGAGCGAGAAGTGCAGACGCATCGGAGCATTCACTTGTTTCAGTTGGAGAGCGTACGACAGCATATCCTTGGTGTTCTGTGGCAACGCGTTTGGTTTGTTGACGACATTGCTCTTCATCGCCTCTATTGTCATTAGCAAAGGGACAGGCTGCCTGCCCTGCGACTCATACTTCATGTAAGAGAAGTAGATGCAAAGTTCTTGGCTTGGAGGGTTTTGTATGATTTGTTCAAAGAGGACTTCGGTGCCCTCACCAGCTTTCACAGTGGCGGTCAGCGCGTTGCCATGACTGGTGCTGGTAGCCTGCGGCTTCCAGGGTACGCCTTTGAATGATATTTTACAGGAAACCTGATCAAAGTCGCAGTGCAACAGTTCCTTGCCACTGCTTCCCCGGTGACCGCCCGGCGCTGGGTGTTGCTGCGATCCATGTGCCTGAGGCGGAGCAGCAGCACTGCTACCGTACAGCTGGTTCAGCAAGTCTTGTATGCTTTGGCCGCCCAAACCGCCAGCTTGCGTAGCACCCTGCTGGCCAACATAGCCATTTCCACCGCCGCCAAGCTGGTTAATCATGTCCTGGATGCTTTGACCGCCACCCTGCTGGCCACCATAACCACCGCCGCCAAGCTGGTTAATCATATCCTGGATGCTTTGACCGCCACCCTGCTGGCCACCATAACCACCGCCGCCGCCAAGCTGGTTAATCATGTCCTGGATGCTTTGACCGCCACCCTGCTGGCCACCATAACCACCGCCGCCGCCAAGCTGGTTAATCATGTCCTGGATGCTTTGACCGCCACCCTGCTGGCCACCATAACCACCGCCGGCAAGCTGGTTAATCATGTCCTGGATGCTTTGACCGCCACCCTGCTGGCCACCATAACCACCGCCGCCGCCAAGCTGGTTAATCATGTCCTGGATGCTTTGACCGCCACCCTGCTGGCCACCATAACCACCGCCGCCAAGCTGGTTAATCATGTCCTGGATGCTATTGCTTTGACCGCCACCCTGCTGGCCACCATAGCCGCCGCCGCCGCTAAGCTGGTTAATCATGTCCTGAATGCTTTGACCGCCACCCTGCTGGCCACCATTTCCTCCGCCGCCAAGCTGGCTAATCATATCCTGGATGCTTTGACCGCCTAGTCCGCCGGCTTGCGGAGCAGGCTGCCCGGAACTGCCTCCCGACAGCTGATTTAGTAGGTCTTGGATGCTCGTACCGGCCTGGAGATGGCCCGATTTGGCACCACCAGCGCAGAGTCCGGGGTAGTGAGTCGAGCACTGGGTGCCGGCCGGACACCGGCTGCACGAAGGGCCCGCCTCGTACACCTCGTCGAACAGCACATTACCCATCGGGCCGTAGTTGCAGACGTACAGCTTGTTCCACTGGCCGCCGGCAAAATACATGGAGTAGCCGCAGCCAATCATCTGGGTGGTGGCCCACACCATCTGGGTGAAATGACCAAAGTCGTGCGAAAACTTGAATGGTTTGATGTTGCTGTGGTTGAAAGCCCGGACTTCGTCGAACCATTGTCTTATGGTAGCCTTCCAGTTGGGCTGTTTTCCCTTGTCGGCGCCGTGCGTCACAGCCAGGTTCTGGCCACGTCGAAACGGTCGAGCGCTCGGCACTCCTTGCAGTCGTGCCTGTAGACACACTGATCGGCCAGTCTCTGTGCCACGCGCGCTAGTTCATCATCCCATTCCAGCTGAAGCATGTTGGCGGCCGGAAGCTGTCTTTGTAACCTGATGGCTTGCGGAAATCGTCCTCTGCGCTCATAACCGGTTGCCAACTTAGACCGCAGTTGGTTGTGCATGTCTACGATCACGTTGATGTCTTCGTGGTCGACTTCACGTGCCTCAACCCGTTTGCACGCCGGCCCGATGCCCTCGTACTGACACATGGTGTGCATTTCGCTCAGCTCGCAGTAGGGGTTATGATGAGTGGCGCCCGAACTGAGCACCACGCAGAGCGCAGCTGCCAGCACAACTCGCAGAAGCATAATTGATAGGTTGATGGCAATTATTTTGATTATCTTGTTATTATCTTAT